TCTAACAAAACGGAAACCTTTGGAGGCAGCTTCATTGAATTTTGTGAAAAAAGAGTGGTGAAAAACTCATTTATCAGACTTTGTATTATGAGGTCGCTTTAAGATGTATCAACATTTCAAATCGTTAAAAATACTGGGCTCTTAAATTCCTGCAAAATAATCTCGCAATTCTTCGGAGACCAGAAAACAAAACACTTGGCAAGTGAGAGTCGAGACAAAAGACGCTCCGAGGTTGCGTGCGTTCACTTCAACACTTTATTTATGCAGTCAATATCGATTGTGCAAACTATGATCCAAGGACAAAGGATAATGTTGACATCAGGAGCAGTATCTCAGTCACGGTAGTAAAGATTATCACAAACCATGCTTGTGTGACCTTTTGAAGTTACAAGCTACTGCAGGAAAAGAGATAATCTCGGTTGTAATGACAATGCCAAGCATGCTGCTTGAGCATCGAGCCTGTTTGTGCTAGAACCATTTAGTCTTTCACAAACAGAAAAATACGATCAGTTTCATATTGTAAAATTTCGTAAAGCTCTCTCTTCACCGTAAATTACCAGACATTTTAATTTTTGGCCAACTGTAAAATTTTGGCTATGAATGCGCCGAGAATTATCCCGACTTTATGGGAATTAGAGAGATTCTTCAATTCCAAACATTTCAATTGGAGATGGACCAGTTAAATGTTATTATTGTATGGAAAATGCTATATTGAAGACGAAAACTCGACTATACTATATAAACTATATTGATATAAACTCGACTATAGACTATATATTGCTATAAAACTCGAATATATCAAGATTGAATATAAATCTTGCAATCTTGAGCATCGATATAAAGCTGCTGTGAATGCGTGATGAAGCCTCCTCACCACCTCCCATATATGGCCCTCTCACACAATAGTTGACTGATGACTTGTTCAGTAAGCTATGAATATGCTAGTGGCCTCATAATGATGGCTTTCCAATATTAATATCACTGTAATATTTTCACCTGCCAAGCAACATCGCTCAGATTTGGGAGCTCCACAGAACATTATTAATTTAGAGCTGCCAGTAATGAAACTTTATTATAGTGTAATAATATACATGGTGAAAACGAACGTTTGGTGCAATAAAATCCTATTACAGGTCTGCGAGGCTCCGCAAAACGAAATATCATTTTTAGAATCTATTTATAAGCGTCACTCTGGTTATGACCAGGATTGAATTCAGAGCTGGGCAGCGCTACCGCTACCGCTACATGTTCTAAATGTAGCGGGCGCTACCGCTACCGCTACACCCGCTAGATTGTAGCGAGCGCTACCGCTACCACTACAGTAAAATGTAGCGCCGCTACATTAGCCGCTACAATGGCCAAAATTATTGGAAATCTCTAAATATTTATTGTTCTGCTATTGGGATTTACTCAGAAACATTTAATGATAATAAAACATATTCAAAACATATCGATGCAACTTAATTACAATTAACCGAACCGAACTAGTACTGGTTAGATACAGTAAATAAAAGTTACAGTTATTTACTTATTTTTATGTTTTACCTTCCCTACATGGATGTCAACTTTAATCTACCAATCTAAAAAATTATCCACATATACATATAAAAATCAGTCTTATTTGTATATATATATGGATTATTTTTGAGATTGGTAGATTAAGATAGACATCCATGTAGGGAAGGTGAAACATAAAAATAACTGTAAAAATAACTGTAAGCAAACTGAAATATGAAAATATACCTGTAAGTGGTGACTGGTAACAACTTAACAAGTAACAACTAACATGTTGACACTAGTAACAGGCTGAGGTTGACAACATTACACCGAAATCTTTCGTACAGTGTTATTCTGTAATTTATATTATGTATGTGTCGTGCTAGTTTTTAAATAATATTTAATACTATTAAGTAAAATCTAAAGGCTTTATCTATAAATGTAGCGGTAGCGCTGTAGCGGCAAAATCTCGTATCGCTACTTAAACATGTAGCGGGCGCTACCGCTACTGAAAATGTAGCGGCCGCTAGTAGCGGCCGCTACATGTAGCGCGCTACTGCCCACCTCTGATCGAATTTAGATCTGCTATGAGAATCTTAACCAATCTCTTTGCAATAAAGAGATACAAATGTTAATAACTCATATCCTGATTGAATACCTAGAATGAATTCGCATCCGGAAACTTATCGCCGATCGAGATTTGCTATAAAACTACATAAATTATTATGCAGGATAAATAAATTGAATTGATCACTCATACATCTTACATTGAAAATTGGAATGCTACGATCGATGAAGAATAACAGCCTCCAAACTAAAACGAAATGATTGACATTTATATAGACGCGGTAAAGGTACCGAGAAACTCCGTTTATGTGAAGCCAGTACGTCTTGACATTTATTTCATTTGCAAATGTCAGACTAACTGCGAACAATTTGCGCTCAATAATTCAGCCTTAATATTTAGATCGTGCAATATATTTTGTCTACGCTCGTCTGTGCGGCATTAGCGATCGTGAAAAATATGTCGATTAGTTGGCCTGGCCACGGGTCATTTCTGACAAATGTGGAACTGCGCGGTCATTGCTTAAAAATATGGCACTACGTGGTCATTGCTGTTGCTGACAAATATGGCACTGCTAGTTCAAAAAATTTATGTAGAGCTTTGTCAAAAAATTGTCGATGGTATTCGTCAAAAGATATAAAGAAATTAGTCTTAGCGGGTTACACACGCAGCAACTTCAATCTAATATCAACGAATCGAAACTTAGTCACCAGCATTTCTTGATTGCTTAGAGCAGCTGCCCAGCAATCGCTGCTCCAAACCATGCATATTTCAAATGAGTCTCACACTCCGTGCACGCTCGTACGCGTAACATGTGTCGACTGTAGCGTGACTTGCGCAGCAATCGAAGGCAGAGCTGTGCGGGGCCTGGCTTTAAGCTTTGTTAACGCCATGGACTAGGCATGTCGTGCCGGCCACTTAAGTGCATACTAGCTCTAAACTTAAAAATTTACAGCGAAGTTCGACTTGCGACAACTCTCATTTATTAACTGTACGTCTTGAAATATAGGTTGACCAAATAAGGTTTGATCAGAATCGAATATAGTCTCATAGAATAAATTTAAAAATTTTTAATTGGATAGGCGGATGGCGATATCATGCTCACGGTTATTGAAAAAACACACACGGAATAATTAGCGCTGCATCTGACCTCGTCCATCAGTTTTGGGAACCTGCTGTCATTCTATTTTAAAATGAATAAATCAAAAGCAAATTTTAACCCGAAACTTCTACATAGTTTAGATTATATGCCTATGCTCCTCACTGATTATAAAGACAATAATAACTGCATGGTGAATAATGTAGGAATTATTCAAATGCGTCCTGGGAGGTTTCAAAGGGACGGTAGGAAATACAACACAACTCCTTAAAACTAATCAGAAATGTCATCTGACAATTAGTAAATATCATTCTTGAGTTTGCTTACATGGTTTATAGAAGAGAAACAAATATGGCTCACGTGCAAGGGGCAAAAGAGAAATTTTGTAGTGAATTTTAATCGAAATGGCAACATTGAATAAGAATGTCTTTAATTTGTGAACATTATTTTTCGCAGGAATTGAAAACATCTAATGCAACCTAGAAAATAATGACGTTAATTAACTTAATTTACACGCATCACAGCCGTGTGATGCCAGCGGTTACGGATGTGACGTGCGCTCATGTTTTAATAGCGTAATACAAGAGTGGTTCCAAAGAACGGAAAGTCTCATAACAGATACTTAAACATAATATAAAATTGTACATTTCGATATAGGTACAACTTTCTTACATATAAACCAGAGAATCGTTTAACTATTGAATATGAGGTCATTTATATGATCTTTCTTTATGGTTATGTTTATGATCTTTCATTATTCCTGTCTTTAAAAAGTCTAGTTTCTCTAGAGCATTCATATAGTGACAGAAATTATTCAGTAAACATTAACAATTGGAATCAATGTTGTACGTTGTATTCTAGAGTCAATAGATTTTGGCCTCATGGTGTTTATTGTCATCATTTATAACCATATAACAATGGAGCCATCATGATAAATTTTGTGGTCCAGCTATCATATTTTCACGTCTTGGTTTATTGATTGAATATTATTTACCAGTCGCACGTAGACCGTAGTCGGTCGAGGTTTCGTAAAATGGCTAGTAAACAGCCGTGCTCTCTTCCCACGTCAATGACTGTGAGCAGAGTGCATGTATTGGAAAAACATTCGGGAGACAAGTCACAAATGTTTAAAATTCCCCGGTCAACTTTTGCCGATTCATTTAAAAAATGTAAAAAGTTCACTTCTTTATGGTAAGATGATCGAATCATCTTTACTAGACGTTCTCGAGCCGCCAGCGACTCCGTTAAACCGACTTTATTTATAAATCTCTTATAAGTTCCCCTGGTAAATGTACAAGTAACACTTACCAATACAATAGTGGAAGCTGGCATAGAAAAATATAATGAATGAAAAAATCAATATGAGTAAACATAAACGCAAGTCGCGTATTTTGTAATCCTATTTCTATTGCCGGTCAATCGCGAGATGGATCGTTTGCCAGCAAAGTACCGGCGGATCCAGCGACACATTTGTTTAACAATCTGGACCACCTGCCAAATATACAAATATGAGGCATTTTTCTGGGTAGATTCAGCATGATTCGAACTTCGATTAAGTGAATTGGGGGAGGTTTGAGCAAATGTTAGAGATCTGGACGAAAGGAATTGATGGGTGTTGGGTATATTGCATTTGATCGATACATGAAACGTGGCGCGATATGCGGAACTGTGACTGGTAAAGAATTGTAAATATTTTGCGCTAGATCTTGGTTCTGATCAGATGTTTTATTATTAAGACGTTTGACATTATAGTCAAAACTTTGTATGCATGTGTATAAGACCTTCTATGTTAAAAGATTTCTAAATTAGGTTTGTCATCAGCTTTATTTTCTCTGGCAGAGGACCAGTCGTATCGCTGTGATCTGAGCCTCGGGATGGAGAAGGGAGAAATTCCAATCACGGCCATAAGGTAATTAAGTTGAATGGATAGCTTTCAACAATACGAATTATCAATATGTTAAAGTTTCTCATATGGAAAAGGAATGTATCCAGCCTTACGAGTAATTAACATGTAACTGCTCCCCATATGAATACAGATAGTTTCTAGCCATTCGATTCACTAACGTGTAACAGTCTTCATTTGGGAAAGGGAAGTTTTCATTAACATGTAACCGTTTCTTAGATGGAAAAGGAAAGCTTTTAATAAAGTTTTATTGGTGTGCTACATGAATTTCACCAATAGATTAAATTTTAGCTGCTTGTAGGACTTGCGATGTTCTCATCTCAAATTGCCTAGACAAATAAATTCTATTCGACTCATATGGATAACAATGATAGATTTTAGCAAACTTACCCAAAGAGCCAACTTAACGCTAACTTCCTTATACGTAATAATTTATTAATGATAACTATCATTTCATTTCCAGCACAAGCCTGCCCAGCAGCTCCGTGTCAGGCATCCGCCTTAACAGCAACAGTGCGTGGTGCTATAACGTTTCCTCGCTGCCTCTTGGCGCCCGCGTTACGTTGACCATCGACCTCGGAAGAATGGCGTTTGTGTCTGCAGTGCAAACTCAAGGGCCTCCTGCGTCCCTTCATGGGCCCGAGTACGTTAATTACAACCCCTTCAGGTTGTACAACTCCTCCAAGTCCTCTGCTGACGGCCCGATACCGGACGACAAATGGGAACTCTGCTGTGGCGATACGAAATACGTGAGTTTTGGCAGGCAAAACAGATTTTTCTGTCGAGTTCTTAGATTGCCTATTACTGTTACTGATCATATATGTCTGCGATTATTCATCATTACAGGGCACATGTACATACTTTTTCAAGTCTTGGGGAAATAACGGTAACGCGTTACATGTTTTGAATGATATTTCTCATACCCGGTCTGATCTTGTCGATCAGTTCTACGCTGAGGACAAGCATGCGGAGGTCGACGTGATATCAACACACGCGTTCGGGCTGCTCGTGCTGGCGCGCTCGCTCAAGCTCGAGTTCGAGAGCGGCCTCAACACCGGCGACAGAAAATGTTATAGAATCGAAGTCCTCGGCTGTCCGTCAGGTGCTGGCTCGGACTTACTTAATCGTTACTACTTAATTCGTAATTGTTAAAGTTTAGGACTATTAAATAATTCATAAATTTTTATTTCTCTATGCTGTTAAATGTGAGTTTTTTTTAAATCAATATTACGAATAATAATTCTGATGAAGGAAGTACAGCTATTTCATTCATCTATTTCCTGCGAATAATTCCACTTATTTCCCCCAGGCCTGACGCCCCACACAAACCTGACCATCTCGGCGCTGCCTGCTGGGTACCTACAGACGACATGGCTGGCCTCGACCGTCGTCCTCCCCACGGTGTCGGGGACGGAAGTGTTCCCCCTCATGACGCCCGAGTACAAGGTTCGTGCGATGAAACTGCTCCACGTTCTTATTATTATTTCATAAGCTACGATTCTAACTTTATTTCTTGTTCGTACCTTCATAATTAGAAATTATATTGTTGTGCATAATTTTTTGCTTGATCAGCCAGGTATTTCCTAAAAAATTAAGGCTCGACAGATTTTAAGGTAGGGAATATTTGCTGAAAAACTCCTGCCATTGAAATTTTAGCCCCAAATAATTTCCCTAGGGGTGAATTCGACGTATTTTCCAGTTCATTTATGGCTTCAGTGTTTGTTATATCTGTTGTCAGGTGGTAACAGATCGCTGGGGCACGACGCTACCCAACATGACGACGGTGCAGCATGTGGAGGTGGCGCGCGTGCTGCTACCTAACCCTGTGTGGGGAGCACAGTACAGGGTGCAGATGACGTGCATACATCAGGGCGTGGCACTCCCTTGTGGCACTGCCCAGCTCACCGCCTTGTTACCAGGCTGCTCACCGTGCCAACCCGGCGAGGGATGTGAGTTGCCGGGTGCTTGTCTATACGGCGAGAGATGTGAGTTGTCGGGTGCTTGTCTATACGGCGAGGGATGTGAGTTGCCGGGTGCTTGTCTATACGGCGAGGGATGTGAATTGCCGGGTGCTTGTCTATACGGCGAGGGATGTGAATTGCCGGGTGCTTGTCTATACGGCGAGGAATGTAAGTTGCCGGGTGCTTGTCTATACGCATGTTGGTCAAGTCATTCCTTTATGTATTATCAATGCTAAATTATTACTATTTAATCGTGATGCGGTAATGTTGGGGAACGATGTGGCAATAAAATCAAAATTATGAGTGATGTGGATTCATAAATTGCATGGTGTATTGTTACAGGACTGACTCGTTAAGTCAGTGTTATGTGCTCAGCCATCAGCATTTTACTGTGAAATCGTCATATTCATTGCTGTTTGGTGTTTTCATTTATCACTAGTGGTGTTCCGGAGGCCACAGCCACTTCGGGGGGCGGTGGTACAAGACGGCGCCCCCAGCTTGCAAGGGGCGCTGGTGCTGTGGTGGGAGGCGACGGGTGGGGGTTGGATCACCCCCACTGTAACCCTCACTGTGAAAAACAAAGCCCAGCAACTCATGTCCATCGAGACCATCGACACTAACGTGAGCTCAGCTCGTCAGTCGCGATGATTAATTTTATTTTTTCGCTCCCATTAGACACAATAAGTTGGAAACACTCATGAGTTGAGTTTATGATTCAAATCTTGAAATTTCACAAGGACAATTTTTATCAACATTATCAAATAAGAAGTATTATTACACAAAGAATTTATTGTCCGAAATATTTGGGTTTTTCAGAGGACCTATGCCATCGTGAAGGGTCTCCAGAAGGGGGAGACCTACTCCGTGGAATTCACGCCCGTGACCAAACTCCAGAATCCACCAATTTTCACCTATCCGCTCTATCTCAGTGAGTGTTCTTAAAAACAATAATTCTCAATTTTCAGATATATTTTTCCAAGTATTCCAATTAACAAGCATCACCTGATGCACGCATATCCATTTGCCTTTTTGTACATCAAGAAGCAATACGATATTTAAAGGTGGTAGTAAAAATGAGATCCTAATTCAAAATGAATAATTGTACGTTACGCCTTAGTTGACGTTAGCTTATTTCATAAGTAAGATAATTATTTTAATATCATACGAACCTCCAACAGTTCAATGGTCAAATGTTATAAGCACTTCTGCCGACTCCGGATTCGGAGCGTTCCTTGCGGATCTGAGTTTGGAGGCGAACGTCCTCTGGAACGGCACCCTGCGGGTCACCTGGACGCCGGGGATTGTGAGGGGGACTTTAGAAGTGCCGACCACGGCCACGACTGTTATGACATCAGCGTCATCTCCGATATCCACGGTACCTGCTGCATCCACAACATCAGTGACTTCTACAACATCTGCGACATCTACCACGCCTACGGCATCTGCTACATCTACCACGTCTACGACATCTGCCACATCTACCACGCCTACGACATCTGCCACATCTACCACGTCTACGACAGCTGCCACATCTACCACGTCTACGATATCTGGCACATCTGCCACGTCTACGACATCTACCACATCTGCCACATCTACCAACTCTGCGACATCAGCCACATCTAATACATCTTCGACATCTGCTGTACCTGCAACAGCTACGACATTTACATCTACTACCTCTGCTGTATCTACACGAGTAACGACATCGTCGTCCTCTGTACCGTCGAGTAACACGAGTACTGCGCAGAATTCGACCGGCACCACTACAATTACTACAGCGAGAACAACACTAACAACTTCAGCAGGTAGCACGAGCAGTGCCGCCTCATCTTCTCAATCGTCGACGTCTACTAACTCGACACTTAACATAGCCTCTTCAATAAGTACTTCCCCCAGTAAGTCACTTACATATTATGTTCTCATACCCGTTTGGTACTGTTATTATATGATCTGAATAATACTCATAAGTAATGCAAATCGCCAATAATAATTGGGCTGACCGAAATTTTTTGTCTTCAGGTACCTCAGCATCAACAAGTTCCACGCCACTCACCCCCTCCACTTCAACTGTGCCCCCGCGACGCAGCGTCACCTCCGCCCTCGCTACCTCATACAACATCACATTGTTGCAGAACGGCACCGGTAATTGCTTAACCAGCCCTATTTACTCATTAATTTCTAATTAATTAAGTTAAGTCATTTTGTTAGAGACAATTTTAATCGCCCAAATTTGTTAGAGACGCGAGCATGAGTCCATGGATTGGTGTGTCGTATCAAAGATATCGTTACTTGTATACGATATCATCGCGCAGTACAATATTCCTTGAAGTTTAACGCTCCCAGCGGATGGAATTTAACTACTTACTTTATTGCGTACTTTAGTTCCGACGGGTTTTGAATGCCCAGTTTCTTCGTTCTATTTTCTTATTAAATTAGTTTCTAATAACATAAAAAAGGTGCAATGCATAATTTGTGAGATTTTATTATTTGTAATACGACATACAATCTATGAGTAATAGCATATAATTATTTAATTCGGTTTTCTGAAGCATCAAATACACCAAAGATTACGAAAATTAAATCGACTACTGTTAAATTTCTCAAGAGATGCACGCTTCTGGCGAACAGTATATACAACAACAACGTTTAAGAACTTTGAATCTATCGTAAATGTATTTTTTATTTCGTTTTTCGAAAAAATGGTGTTCAGTTATGGCAACGGTCTAAATTTTTGTGCTCGAAAACTACGATAATTTTGGATTGTTTCATTTTCCAGCAAGGTTCTCTACTTGCATGACCCTCTGAACTGACTTCCTGAAAGAGGAATGGCCTTCTTTCTGACTTGTTATACACTAGATAAAGAGATATTTACACTAGCATTTGGCATTGCAGTGGTGAACTACGCCGTAGTGCAAAGCAACGTCACCGAACTGCGGGTTGACTTCCCGTTGTTGTCGCTGCTGACGGAGTACACGGTCGAGATGAAGTGCTACTTGGGCAGCCTCGAGGTCAACTGCAGCAACGTCAGGACCGTCACGAGTGAGTTCAGCAGCGTGACATTTGAAATGTCAAGTTAAATAAACAAATCAATATGAACTTGCTATATAATGCCTTGTTCATGGACGACGCTCTGGAATTATTTATGGTGAATACATTCTAATCTGTTTTTTATGGCAAACGTGGGTTCATAATTTTAGCTAACATGACACTTTCTCGTTGGTCAGCTGCATGTGCCTTAAAGTGCGTGCGATTTGATGCACTTAACCGAACGATTTCCGATGCAAGTAACGTTTTCAACGGAATAACATTCCAAATTAGCTAGCTATCATTATGAAGAAGAAGTACATTGATATATGATACCTATAATTTCATCTATGACAATAATATATATTGTACTTTCAGGTTTACCTCTGTCGTGGACAGAGGTAGGCAACGAACTGAAAGTGTACATGGGGCAGGATTCAGGCGACAGCTGGTATGAGCAGAGACAGAAATGCCTGCGTAGTTCGTCGCTGCTGGTTTCTCTAGCAACCAGAACTGAAGAAATGCTCTTCATGGAAGCCATGAAGCTCAGGGACTCGAAAACCTACTCGGAATTTTGGCTTGGGTCCAGTTTTTGTCAAGACAACGGAGGTCAGTGATCGGGGAACGGTGATTATTTTGGCTTTCGGCCCGAGTAGGAGGACGATTGCTCGTTGGTCAAATATTTTATTTTGCTGTAGGGCAAATAATTTTTCTCTAATTGTACTTTGCGATGAATTTTCACTGTAGATTCATATGAAAAAAAATTGACAGAGGAATAAACTTTTTTTTAATAAAAAACAAGATTGGGATATGCATGCAAACAATTTAAATTGTTCAAACGGGCACCACATGTCAGATGACAATGATTGGATTATACCTGGTAATGTGGTAGCCAACATATCAATGCGAAAAATTCAATCATTGGCAGCAGTCACGTGAAATTCCGCATGACTTGTACATTATTATGCCATCAAATAAACGATTCACTAGGAGAACATTGTCAAAATCCAAGAATCTACCGACAACGAAACAAATCCACGAATCTTAGCGAGTTTTTGACGATGCTTCAGGGAAGTTGTGGGAGGATGGGTCGCCGTGGTCGTTCTCCCGTCTTCCGACCATCAACTCAGGAATTTCTTCGAGCACCTGCTGCGTGAAGGTGGTGAAGACTTCTGCTGCAGACGAGCCATACGCGTACAAATGGCGGGGAGAGCAATGTGGCGCCATCTTGCCTGCTGTGTGCGAGCACACGCCACCAGGTGGAGCTTGCAGTTTGGAAGTTAAAAAATCCATTTCTCTTGTGCTGCTCATAACATTTATTGCTCCGAGAATTTGCTCACCCTCGGGCGGTTGCAGAAGTTGGCTTGGTGGCATCTGTGATATCAAATTTTAGACAGTCGCACTCGCCTAAAGACCTTCCCAATGTTTGAATGTTATAATGAAGATTGGTATTATGAATTCTACAACAGTGTGTCTGTAATACCCTATGTATGCAATGGAAGGGTCATGTGTTATTCAGCATCTGCGTAAAGATATTGTTTATAAAAAGTTGCTCTCCTAAACAATGCCCATTTATCCCACAATGTAAATCTCTAGCTACGCCTGCCTAACCAGCCATGCTTGATTAACCTGCGGAATAAGCTTTCAAACTATTAAACGATATCTCTCTAGCAGCGTTGGTTCAAAATGGAAATAAGATATATTCGGAAACAAATTTTCTTAAAGTTTCTTTTAGTGTGTATATTACTTTTTCATATCGGACCACCGTTTAAATTCTGTGGAGCATTGTTTTTGTGTGTAGCTAATATTGAGTTCCTCTGCATTTTTCAGGACTGGTGGGCTCGATAAAGTCTATTAATCGAACAAGAGCCAACATAACCTCAGCATCAGTCACCTTCACGTACACTCCTCAGTACTGGCAGGCTACCTACATCAACGTTTCGTACGCGCCCACCATTGACCTCGAGACCAACCTACCACTACACAACCAATCGTAAGGCCAGGAGTAGCTCATATATCTTATAAAGGGTGCGCAGCCGTAGACCAGCAAATTAACGCTCAAATCAGCCCTGGAGCCAACATCAACCATCTAAATGCTGTAGATATTGTCATCCTGGCACCTAAGCAGCTGTAGTCAATTGACCTATCTCACCACACGAACTTTAAACCAACACTGCTTCAGCACAAAAGCTGCTACTCCACATAGTTGACGGTCAATACGTTGTTCTTCAATGCTTTATAACCCATACCATCACTTCTTACACATGCTGTTATCCTAAGTGTCCGCTGACCACACTGCATTGCCGCAAATGTGAACTGTACCAAACGGTAATGCGTCATCACCTTACTTACTCCGCAAGACATGAACCCAGCGTCACTGTTTCCCGGCCTTACTATCCCCCAGCATCTTCTTCCCCCCACACTTACCCCGACTCTCCACCATTATCGCATGGCTAACTGGAGGCTTTTCTCGCAGACCTTTGATGCTTATCCGAATTAGGTTAGGTTAGGTTAGGTTACATTAGTTTACAACTCGTATAGATCCTCTTTTCATAGCGTAATGCAGTCAAGTGAGCAGAAACTAAGAAAAGCCGTCCGGCAGTCGGTGAAAAAAGGCGGGGAGACGGGGTAAGCGTGGAGGTAGAGTTATGCCGGGGGAAAACAGCTGCGACGAACGGACGGGCTGGAGTGCTGGCTGTGTATCAACAGCGGTATGGCGTAGGGAGTTGCTTACCGAAAATCGTGAGGAGGTTAGACGGCATGGGATAGAGCTGTTGGACGGTTTTCAATACGGCGTAGAGCGATTGTATTGGTGGCTTACTTCTCATTAGCTTGCTGGTTAATTTCCATGAAGGGGATTTGTACCTTTGGCTTTTAACTTGTAATCCCTTAGTCTACTCTGCCCTTTAGCAGGCTTACGCACGGAAAGGAGGATGAAAGATATGCTGGTCTTGGGCTATGCTGGCCTCCGGCATGCATCCCCTTATAAACATGCTCATACATTAAAAAAATTGCGGGTACATTCCTCTCTTTTATCTGTACGCAGACAAGCGGTGCAATGCCCCCGTATCGATGGACTTTAAAATATAGTTTTCTTCTGCCGGTGTTTCCCACTTGCTCATTTTTGAATTTCTGAACATTTTTGAACAGAAGCCAAATTTTAATGCCGGCTTTAATTCATCTTTTCTTGAAATTGTGATAGTTTCGTCTACTTGTAACTATTTCATGTTGCCAAATAATTTATTTATAAGTTTTAGCTTCATTATGTATGCGGTGGACTTGATGATACCATATTATAGATAATATTTATTTTCACAAATTTTAAAATTGAGCGGGCCTCCGAAAACTTTTATTTAAAAACATGGTAAAGATTAGTGACATTTTCATTGTTTTTCTGAATCTCTTATTTTTATTGGATGAAAATTCTGAATAGAATGTCATCATATACGACCAATCTTGCCTTGTTAATTCTCAATCTACTAAAATCCAAAACTACTGAACTGAACAAATATCTGATTACAAATAAAGTGCATGGCAATACAACGATTTACGTAGATACCAGTCAGTCGAGAATAATTTTGATCTCGGTTAATCCCAACATTCGTCTAATAACGATAATTCTCATTACATAGCCTTTAGATACAATTAACATTGCAAAAGATTAAAAGCCAACTGTTCCTGGATATTCTACTACTGCGTATTCTGATCCACATTGTACTGGTCAGGCGCACGGACATGCTGCTCGACAACAGCTCGAAGAGTTGCACGGCCGCTGGACTCCTTGTCTTCACCGAATACTTGGTCTCGGCCAGCGCCGTCCTGCAGCCTTTGGGCTACTCTGGCAGATCGGCGAACATTACCGTCAGAACATGTGTGTATACTTCATTCTTTGACTTGTTTGGCGATAAGCATGTTCACGTTGACCATGTTGACCATGTGTAACCATGTTCCACATCAGGCCTACTCTTCAGCGCCGACATCGCGATGTTATATAATCACATACCGTTCTATTTCGCTCATTTGCCGCTTGTTGGCTTTCATTCAGTGGGTGTACGAACGTTTTCGAACTGCTGATTTGTGATTGAAAATGAACTCTCTAATATGTGTTTTTCCAGCAATTTAGAGTTCCAGCATTACATGCATGAAACCAATGCAACATCAACAAACTACTTTTAGGAACAAAACTGGTGCGATTCACTCATTGGACATTGTTTTTTTTTTTAAATTGCTGTGTTCATTAACTGTTTATACCTACTCCAGATCCTGCAAAACCGGTGAGCGTATCCATCCTCAGTAGCGGCCGAGTGGCTTACAAATGGTCTCAGAAGGTAATTACGATTTGGACTGAATGTTGATTCGGGTTAAATTGAGACGAAGGAATCACATGTCTCACAGCACATATATCGATTCCATTCATCAAAGCCGGCGTAATAGAACCGTTTTGTAGACATCAGTTGATATCATATGATTGAATTCACATTGCTCATCATTACATGTATTTTCAGCCATGAGCTTTTTATACAATTTCGATAATCCATATTTTCACCTGCGCCTCTACAGCCTAATTATTCTTCTTAACGCGCCCAAAATAGCTGGTTTAAACAGGCGCTCGAATTCTGGGCATATTGTCGATACTTTCATTCGCACTCGTGCAAAAAATATTTTTTTTCAAGGTCGATGGTTAGATTAGAGTCATTAGACCAAATATTATCTCTTTCAGATCGCTGAATTCGGAGATAACGATAGTATTTCCGTGAAGCTAGTCGGCGGGCTTAGCTCCTCTCCTGACGCCAGCTTGCCCCCAACTGAGGTCAAAAGCCTGGCCAGCGGAGGGATGATTGGGCCGCTCAGAATTGGGAGAAAATATCACCTCATCATGAAGGAGGTGGCGGGAGTGTCCGGCGCCGAACCGAGAAACGAAACGTTCAACTTCACGGCTTGTGAGTGCAATTTTAAACCATATTGCCTTGTAGAGACTTGCACAGTGTTGAAAATAATTTATAATTTGTTTCGTGACATCTCGAAAAGTCGAATGAAGTATCTGCTTATTCTATGATGATGAACGACGTTCTATATAAAAATATTAACGGTTTGTCTATGGCTGAAGTAGAGTATCGATGGAAAAAAATTTTAATGTTAATTTTGCTCTGTGCATTATAATAAACGGTTTATTAGTTTCGAATGTAAAATTAATCCATCTCGCATTCCTGATTGATATATCTCCATACATTTGGTCTTACAGGAAGAAATTCGTCGTTGAGATGTTTAAATCGCGATCAATGAGCAGCTCAATGTTTATGATTTTATTCTCGTGCACATGAATGTTGCCCAAGATCCGCCGTGCGACTGCCAGGACTGTCAGCTCGGCCAGCAATGCTACGTGGTAACTCCTAACAAAGTCTCCGCAGCAGCAGCGAGTGCCTCATGTAGCGCCTTCAGTACACGCGTCACGGCCACCAAGTACAAGACGACCCTGGCGCTCCTCATCAACATCGCGCAGAAAGTTGGCGACGATCTCTGGGTGTCCTCTGACTCTGAGATGGGCATAGGCTTAGGTGAGTTCACTGAAGTCGTGTATCAAGAAATTAAACTATTGTTGCGCTGTTTATCAAAAGAAAATAAAAAAAAATGAAATTTTTGGGCCTGAGTAACGATAAAATTACTGTGTCTACAGATGAAGCCTCTGTCCAAGTCAAAGGTTCTTTAACCTTGGAATCAGAAGCTGAAGTTGTTGGAAGTGCTACCACGGCATCCTCGAACTCTAGCAAGACTACAACAAGTGTCCCTATCACCACAACCACTACCACTATCAAAACTACCACCTCCACCACCACCACCACCACCACTAGACTTCCCACCACATCAGACGGTCTTTGCAAGCTCGTTTCCAGGGCCGCAAGGGAGGTCGTCAAGCGGCCCTGCACTGAACTGCACTTCGCCTCGTGTGTCTACCAAGCCAAAAGTAGGTTTATGTGGAATGAAAAAACAAACGGAAATGATTTTTAATGATGGAATTTTCCAGACCTGATTTATTCCATGTTAATGATTCTGTTTTGATTTTCAGTTGCGTCGGTATTCCCGCCTGTTCAAGAGATCGCCATCGAGACGGGTGACAGTTGGGTCAAGCTCAACTGGAACGCCTCCATCACCGGATGGAGCGCAAATTATTCCGTGGAGTTTTGGCGGTCGCGCGACCACAGAGTCAAAAGACAGACTCAGGATGTAAACTTCATTTCTCCTCCCGGTAAAAAATTCTCATTTGTTGCGGCTTCCACTATGTCTTGTGGTATTGATACGGTCTCCATGCCTCACCGAGGTACTAAAAAAACTAAATTCTAAAGCCGTTGCAAATGATTCAAAGAGGCGCGGTCGTCATATTTCCATTACAAATTCAGCCATATACCAGGGATCACACAGTACTTCAAGCATTACTCGGAGTTAGGATGCTACATTTATTTCATGTAGTATCCTTACTATTTAAGTTAGATTAAATATTGTATACCTAACTCACAGATACGTTTTTCACTGTATAAGTTTGATGACACATCGTATACCTAACGCACTATATGAGTTAGATGATATATAGTATGCCTAACTCAGAATATAAGTCAGGTGATGTATAGTATTCCTAACTATATGTTCATTACACCATATAATCTATATAACACATTGTATCTCTCAGTTACGATCGACGGGCTGCAGGCCAACATGCCCTACTCCATGTCCCTCGTGGCGGCTCTGGGTGACGACTATTACTCATCCACACCTGAGTTTAAGGTCAGCATTACAATTCATTTCAAAATAAACTAACCAACTCTACTTATAAGAAAATAAGAATCTATGGCATTACTCCCCAATTTAAATTACATTTTCTCCATATATATTTTTAAGATGTCCGATTTTCATTTCAGGTCATCACGGGACGCCAAGCCTCTGGGTACCTCCAGCCTCTTGGGGTAAGTCGAGACTTAAATAAGTATTAATTTAGATCTTAGAATTTTATCAACTTTAAATAAATTTTCTAAATTGATGGGAGCACACGTACGTCATCTTCTATCACCTGTTGAACGTTGAACATTTTGCTGTTAGCCAACGCTCGTAAAAGCAATTGAATTTGCGGCCCTGAGAAGCTGCATGGAATGTTAAAAAATATATATATTTAGTGTTATTATGCAACTTTGGTACCCCTCAGGGGGGACTTCTGACGGGTGTCTGTGCTCGTCAGAAGTCCTATGGGATTTCGCGTTCCTAGGGGGATTGTTTCTGAGCGCCCCACCGCTGAGCTCGCGGTGTCTGACTGTAGGTCTCAGTTGTGGGGTTAAGTTATTATGTAGGCAGGATTCCTTACATTTCCCTTCTCTGTCTCTCTCGTGCGGGCGGCCGACGTCCCGTGTAAGAGACCTCTTGTTCGAGTGTCTTAGTTTCTGTTGCTTTTCACCTGTCCCTCCTTGTCACTTCGTCTATTTGAGATGCTAACGCTGCTTCTTTCGAGCCAGCTTCAGCGGGCTGGACAATTGAGACCTTCTGCCCCTTGTGAGTGATGAATAAGTGAGACCTTCCACCTCTATGGTGATGTTCATCTTGACTTTCGGTTATTGTTGACGTAGAGGATTAGGGGTTAGCATGAGCGGGATACCGTTAATCGCCTTGCGTCCAAATCAGCTAGCAAATTTTCCTCAATATTTTTGAGTGTAAAGAAATTATACATGGCTTCGATTTAGCATAAATTTTATTCGATTGAATAATTTTGATCGTTTTATTTAAATAATATTTTAATATGTAAGTAGCTAGTAGAGATATTTATATTCACCTTATACTTCTGTAACAATATGTTTGCTAATTGCCAATCCTGCTATTGACCTGCCGATGCTGCAATTGACTTACAAAAACAGGTATTGACTTATCAATATTGCAAATGACTTACAAAAATAACTATTAACTTGCCAAACAGCTATGGACTTGCCAATCCTGCGATTGACTTTCGAATCCTACTATTGACTTGCTGATACTAGTATTGACCAGCCAACACTAGTCTTGACCAGCCAACACTAGTATCACCTAGTACACGGTGTGGTGCCCGATAGCCCCACCTAACTAGTATCCTCGCTTCAGGGGGCAGAACACTAGTATTGACCAGCCAACACTAGTATCACCTAGTACACGGTGTGGTGCCCAGTAGCCCCACCTAACTAGTATCCTTCACTGCAGGTGGCAGGCGTCGGCTGGTCCCACACGAGCGACGTGTTCCTGCTGCAGCTGCTCGCCAGCAGCCTCCTCGTCACCGCCTGCATCGCCACCATGCTGCTCTTCTTCTCCACAGGGTCAGGCTTATATGCTCCCTTATACTTATATTACGAAGCCTTATCGTGCATATTTCACATTTACAACATAAAAGAATAACATAGTCGCATGTAGATTAAAGGGCTACGTTTTTGATTCATCAGACAACGCGAGTATTGCTCAGCATTGTTCACTAGCGAAGGTTTTCTATTTTACTTGCCACAGGAAAGTCCCATCAATTGTTGGAGGTGAAAGTTTTTATCGAGCCTCGGATTAAAAGAGCGTTACTTGGATCCATGAGAAGATTTTCGGACATTGACGTATCGTTGTTGTTGTGCCCATCCTGGTAGTGGCGACTAGGTAAGGGAGGGGGTGATAGGTCAGTTTTTCCTGGCACTTAATGCCACTGGTAGTTCTACGACCATCACTGGCTCGCTGACCCGCCAGAACCATTTTATTGCAGTACACAACAACCTGGACAAGCCAGGTACTCATTTATCAACCAGAGTTGGATGAATAGCTGAGTTGACCATGAGCGAGCTTCCCGGTAGAACTTGTCCTCAGTGGGACTCGAACCCGGGCGCTGGGTGCGAGAGACGGAGTCTCTCACCACTGCACCACAACAGCTCGTCATGACCCTCACAAGACGTATCTCACGTATCTTCACTACCCTCACACTACCCTCACTACCCTCACACTACCCTCACTACCCTCACACTACCCTCACTACCCTCACGTACCCTCACCACCCTCACACTCCCCTCACACTACCCTCACTACCCTCACGTACCCTCACTACTCTCACGTACCCTCACTACCCTCACTACCCTCACGTACCATCACTACCCTCACGTACCCTCACTACCCTCACTACCCTCACGTACCATCACTACCCTCACGTACCCTCACTACCCTCGCAGGATGTTCTACCAGGACTGCATGGCGCAGCTCGGCTTCCTGACGTGCCTCATGGTCGCCTTCCTCGTGCTCGTCCTGGCGCACGCCAGCGTCGTCCTCAGCTACGACGAGGTCCGTGATTATTCCTGCTGATTAGTGACTATATCTGATTAGTGTTATCCTGCTTGGTGATTATTTACAGTTATTAGTGGCGATAACTGACAACAGCTGATTATTGTTATCCTGCTTGGCAACTATTGACACTGTATAGTGGCAATAACTGACAACAGCTGATTATTGTTATCCTGCTTGGTGGTTATTAGCACTTATTAGTGGCGATAACTAACTAATGTTATTCTGCTCATGACGAAAAGCTGTCACTAACGAAGGAGGAGAAGCATTGAAAGCAATAGACAACAGATTGCAGTCCATTAATTACTCTCACACTCTTGCACTATCCGGCGCAAGTTATTTATTGGAAAATACAATTAAAAGTATTGCCGTATCAAATTATTGAGATATTTCGTAATATGAAAAAAATGTTGTCCCAATCGAAAGCAGCTCCATTCGAGCTCTTGTCGTCTTAGAACTTTAAATGAAGTAATTCGTCTAGCGCTCAAGTGCTACGTTCGCTAATGTGAAATTTCATTTTTAAGTGATAGCAAATCATACGTTAGAGCGCAATCTTCTCAGCTTATGGTCCCTGTAAATGTTCTCACACGCAATAAGGCGGCGATGGTTACACAGTCAAGGTGCGAGTCTCTGAACGAATCGTGTAGCTAGACACCATGCTCTAGCGATGACGTATCTCACGGAATATAATTGTTATAATGAAGTTTTATGCTTACTCTTCATATTAGAACGACATCGGAAAAAAAACGCAAACACTTTTACTAAGAGGTTTTTAGAATTGATTTTTACAAGGTGAGCGAATCACTGATAATTCATTAGGCAAAGCCTGTAATGCGTTAAACATTGATGGCTCTGATGTTGTGCAGAGCGGCTGTACGGTGCTGGCCGTGGTGCTCCACGCGCTCTTCTTGGGGGCCTTCATGTTCCTTACACTTGAGAGTCATGCCATCTCCTTTCTGCTTGTCGGCCCCATCAGCAACCCCTTCCAGGTAAGCAGCTATAGAATGAAGTGAACGATTCCTGCGACCTGAATGTGAATTATTAAACACGGATGTGAAGATGCACACGTCACTCGAGTGTATTGAGGGTACCTAGATTGAACGTGTTGCCTGCATACGGAACGCAAATATCGACTGTCATAAGATACTCACAACAGGCAAGTTAAGTTTACATTTCATGAGATACTCGCATCAGACATTTCAAGTTGACTTGTCATGTCAGGACGAATTTACGCCGAATAATATCCATTGAATTGTTAGCAGAGTCAGTTCCTCATTGAGTTGTTTTCATGCTGGTCTACAAGCTATTAAGACGATATGATAGTGAGTGCACTTGAAAAATTGCTAATGCAAACTGTAATGGTATTGGTATCCCGCTAGTGCGTGGTGCGCCGTGTGATCAACCGAATCAATCCTGTAATTGTAAGCATAGCCAATGTGGACGCGAAGGCCGAGGCCTCCGTCTTGATCGCTCTGTGTTGAACCATAGCTGACAAGCCCTGCTTAGGCCGTTTCCCCTTTGAGGCCTTTACGATTTTGATCCATTGTACAATTTTACAGTTTCTGGATATCACCACTTACAAGATTGATTAACACCTTGTAATACAGCTTTCGAAAGTTTCCAATAAGAAGCACCGACATTCACCGTTTGACATTCACTGACGTTTGATTCTCCTTGAGATAAGGCCAAGCCTAGTAGTGAATGCCATACGAACCTATACTGCAGAGCCCCAGCTCTTTTGAGCATTTTACCGATGGCTTCGATGGCTTGAATATTACCGATGGCTTTCGTTACCTGCAGAAGAGCAACTGGCTCATGGTGCTCATGGGAGTCATGATCCCTTCTGTGTTCTGCCTCGTGACGGGGGGCATCATCAACGTCAAGTACGCCGACGTCGTGAACCAAAAGTGAGACCAGCGCCAACCAAAAATCCTTTTCGTTACATTATCTTAATCAAATGCATCAAACTTTAGAAATTTTGAAAAAATTGGCATGACTATAGAATTGCAAATAACAGTAAATCCTTTGCCGCACCATCGAAAATAGTTATAAGTTAAGTTCTTACCTACGTCAGTCAATCGGTTACAGCTTTTTAAGCTAAACCCATCAATCACCAAAGAGAAATCGGCCGCTACGCGCACTTAGACAAGTTTTCAAAGCACGGCTTCTTGTATTTAATTAAGTTTGAATCCCCAGCTGCTGGTTACTGCCGACGGGCCCCGCCGTGTACGTGGAGGCGATCCCCAAGTTCATCCTGCTGGTGGCCACGCTGGCGCTGCTGGTGATGACCTTCACCACCACCGGCGAGTTGCCAGACCTGGTCGAGCTGGAGGACCTGAGGGGGCGACAGAGGTGAGGCAGGACTGCTGCTTGGTGACAACGTATCGTTTGATTCAAATTAATTTACTACGAATAATATAAACATGTCTTTTTCCCATGCGGGTATTTTTTTATCAGTTTTAATTGTCATTTTTAAACGAAAAATTTGAACCGTGTTTCATGCATACTACGCACTTTACTTCTCAAATATTTTCTGTAAATTTTCTTCTTCTAAAAATCTATTTCATACCTGCGTTTATTCCGTATACGTTATGTATCGATTCAGGTGGTCTGAACTTTGATATTTTTGTCTTTTCTTTACGCTAGCTTGTTCTGAATTGAATAAAAAAGTGAACATAATTTAATTTGAAATATGTGATTACTTCAATTTAACGTCTTAAATTTCCTTGAAATATCCCAATGTGAAAAAAATCGGGATGTTTAAGGGTTAGGCTGGAACTAGGTTTTTCTCTCATTAGCAGAACTTAGGTTGAGAGTTAAGATGATCGCTGATAGTTGATTACTCCTTGGAGAGCAAATCGAGCCATGAAGCAGTCTGCTGGACAGGATGGACATGGAAAGTGTCTAGTAGGCCTATTCACAATGCCATGTGATACATATTCAATAACTTACTCGCGTCCCTACCGAGAGCTTTCCTCAGGATGTGTGATGTTGCTTGCACCTTTAAGACAGACAGTTTGTTGATTATTTAACCCAAGCAGCATCGGGTCACCCCCTCTAATTATCTATAATAACACTTTTCGGATGGCATAGATACAATTATACTTGAACTTTCGATACGATCATAACGTTGCACCATAACCTTTCGTTATGCACCATGACCATTGTTAAACAAATAATATTGATTGGTTTAAATGGTAGTTCAATAATGATCTACACTCATGCAACTCTGGATTATTGCTAGTGAATTATAAATTAATAACTTAAACAAAATAATATTGTATTTACTTTTCTGATTGTATCGAAAAATTTCCTCTCAGTGACGGCCGGAAACTGCGATGGGTGATCGGCGCCGAGGCGCTGCTGCTGGCCCTGGTCTGGGCGACGGGCGTGGCCGCCTATCACACCAAGAACGACGCCCTCCACGTCGTCTTCGCCGTCGCCACGCTCGTCCTGGCCATCGTCATCCTTTTCTTCAGGACCTATATGGACGAAACTGTGAGCAGTTCTGCCCCAAAGGGCTTGTTATTCGCAGGACATGCAGCGAGGAACGTAGTTTTTTGTGTAACTGCTTTCCGTGCGTCAATTTTACTCCCATAGAGATGAGACTTACAGCTGCATGAGGTAAATGTATTAGTAATAAATCTTATGACACTCAGGCACTTTGTCCAAATATCGATGATGCACTTTTTGCCATTGTTTTGCCTATGACCCGGTAATGAGCGTTTCAGAAATACGTGCAAAAATGTATCACTGTTAGGACAATGTAACCCATCAATTTTGCCGACGTTTCAAATATTGAGCAACTAGATTCAAAGAGGTGGTTGTGTGCACGCAGTTCCGGAGCAAGTGGCATCGGCTGTGCTGCGGGACAGAGCTCACCTACAAGCGCAGCGACTTGGTCGGCCTCAGCGCCCGCAACAGAATCTCTCCGCACATTATCGACCCACGGTGAGGAACGGCCTAGCGTCATTAGTTTCTTGTATGATGACATCTTCAGAGTTTTTTGGGTGTTGGAATCATCAGAGTTTCTTGCGTGTTGGCATCATCAGAGCATCTCGCGTTTTGGCATCATCTGAGTTTCTCGCGTGTTGGCATCATCAGAGCATCTCGCGTGTTGGCATCATCTGAGTTTCTCGCGTGTTGGCATCATCAGAGCATCTCGCGTGTTGGCATCATGCAGAGTTTCTCACGTGCTGGCATCATCAGAATTTCTTGTGTGTTGACTTCTGGATGTTTGCAAGGCCAACTATGAGTACTAAAAATTGTGCAGCATTGCGATTGCTTTTTATGGAACTAGAAACTAAATGGAGCAAAATGAGATTTAATTTCATTATGTGGAAATACAGTGATCACCTTCACTCAGAAACGATGGTGAATCAGTAACGTCCAACAGCGGGGCCAGCGAACATAAGCCGTGACAAATATTTTACGTACATGTAGGCTTGCTAGTTTTTATCTGTATTGTTGAATCTGATTGTTCTTTGTCATTGATACATTTTGATTTTATTATGGATGTGCAAGTGCAACCTACGAGTCACTCATGCATGCATAATGCACAGCATGCAGACTGACCCGCTTCATCAAGACGGTCTCATTTAGTTCCTTTCTGTCCAATTTCTCTCCGATTCTTGGTTCGTGATCGGTACGCTTCCACTAGACGACCTCCTCCTGTTCCAATCCAAAGAGACGCACCTCAAGTTCACGCCCGTGCCTCTCATCATCGGTCGATGATCCCTGTTCTCCGACGGTGGGCTCTATTAGCACTCACTGGCTGGCGAAATTGTTTATGTCCATACTTGTCATGAGAAAATTGTTCGATAGCTGGAGACTTTCATTCTCAAGAAAGTTGTAGAATCTTGGATCTGAGCACAAAATGTGCTTCAAATGCGGTGAAGCATTTGTTAGTTAGTTCTGCCATTGAATGACCACCTATGATATAATTATCAACAACGTGAAGTTTCATTTACTGTGTGAATTGCGGTAGAGGACACAGCTTGCTTAACGAGCTTTCCTCGTTCAAAGATGAACTGTATTCGCGTCCTTTCAATTTTTGCTCCTCATGTCTTCTTGACATCAATTACTTGGGTGTAAATCAGTAAAAGGTTTAGGTGGGGTTGTTTCAGTTGCAATTCTTCGAAGTCGTCTTCACTAACGGGCTTCTTCCCAAAGGCCCGCGCCCACCGTACCTGTGTCGAGACACTCTCCGTCGACGTCTGCGGCTGATACAACAAGCGAAGAATGACGCGTACATTGAGAACGAAGAACAAAAGTGCATGAAACACACCGAAAGTCCGCTAAAACTATAAACAATGTCATGAAGCCAAGTTTGAACATTAGTTAATTGCTTTTAAAATTGGTAATGCAGAAGTTGACATGGCCATCATACCGTAACATTGGCAAAGGTCCGCCGGCCTGACACGATCAAGATTAACCTCCTTCCAAACCTCCGGGGAAATACGCCATTGCTACCCAAAAGAAAGGCTCAAATAACTGAAAATAAAATATATTATTCCTACAACGTTGAAGGAACATAGAAAGTTATATTGCTCATACTTGCGTTGGATATTGAAGACTCTACAGTCTGCCTTCTCAAATATTGTTCTCATTCCTCGTCGAAATCTGTCGCCGCTGACGCCTACATAACAAGCCGTATACAAGTTTGTTATTCGTATTATCTCGGCATGAAAATTTGCTCTTAAATTAATTCTAGCCTTCTGGATCAAACGACATGTAATTAGTTTAACTAGCATCGATTTAGACTAATATTTTTCCAGTGCATGAGAAACTACGTTATTGAACTGTATCTTAGCTTGGTCATGTAAAAATACATTTTTACAGCGCGCTTAGTACTGCAATAGTTACATGAATATTCATACGCCTTTAAAATTTGCTTCGAACTTCATTGATGGTTAAGTGAATGATCTTATGTATGAATTACTTATTCGTTTCGTATCAGGCCATCACCACTGTTCTGTAGATTGCGTTTTTATCATCGGCTTGTTTATTATGTTGTTGCCTGACCTTGACTGAATAAGGTAAATTTAATGTTCATTATTATTAAGAATGGGAGCTATAATTGTTAACAGATTCTGATATGTAAACTTTTAAACTTTTGAATAGAATGACACGTCATAATTCCATAATCAACATTAATTCGTTTCCGTGGCCTTCACTGCTGTCAGGCACGACTTAGGTATAGAACGTAGTTCTGTGGTGACGGACACACGTATTCCTGAGGTTGTTTACTGTTCTCTGGATTCTTACTAATACCTATCAAATACTGGATGGAGACTGCCATTGTACAGGAGTCAGTTTCAACACTTGGACTCCTGTATCGTAACGGTTGTGAGCTTTATGAATACTTCTGTCACACGATTTTACTGCATGCTCAAATAATTATTTTAGTGGACGAGTTGGTTTGATGCAGGTCTTCAGTTCGTTCATCGCTCATGAGTTATACGTTTATGTTCTGCATGCGTAGTGGAGTGCTGTATTGAGTACTCGTATGTCTAAAGTGTTAAATTGTCTGACCGTAGTTGTGTATGGTTTATTATTCCCTTATAAAATAGGTATTCTTCTAAGTAAAGAAGTATAGTATTCTAAGATAAGTATAAGTAAAGTAGCTTCTTCTGCTTCAAATGAAATTTTGCTGTTTTCTTCTCAGGAATGAGTTATCATGTAATGTTGAGTTCAACTCATTCTATGCAAGTTTTAAAGTTTTATTCATCATTCTTATTACCATGTGATTTGCGCAATTTGTCCGAATGTAGAAGACGATTGCCGCAAATATTAAACTCTTCTGCGCTGTTGTGTTTCGCTCTAATCAAGTTATTCTTCTTCCTCAGACTCAATTTAAACATTGAGATATAATACCATTATTTTTTTTTTGTCTACAGAGGCCATAGCTCAAAATCGTCCTCAGCTCAGACGATGTCCTACAATTTGCCCCACACGCCCCCTCAGGATGACGACCGGCAAGTTCTCGTCAGAAGGACATACAACTTCGACCATTAATGCAAGATGGAAATGCTCAAGCGCTTATTGGGGGCACTTTACTCGTAACATTGGGTGTATATGACTCAGAATTCATAATATAATTGAATGTAAATATGCTTCTCCCTACGTTGCCCATATATTTAACTATCCGAGCTTTTATTTTACTTATTTTAAATTGATATTGTTATATGTGAATCTGGACTGGTGAAGTTTTAATCGATTTTAAGCTTCTTTGGAACGAAACTGACGTGTCTTTGGTCAAGTCGTTCGTCCGCAGCACCTTTGTACGTGTATATATTCATGTAGGACTATGTATTTATTGATACTTATATAATATTTATTATATTGATTAGAATATTCGTTGACTCAATTAGAACCTATTGGGACACAATAGCTACATCGACGAGATTGATGTGATTGAGTACTTAATTACTTTCACCAGCGTGCCTTGAATAATGATATTAAAATCAGAAAATTTTCCTCAATATTATTATTTGATCGATTAAAAATGTCGCAACTTGATGCATTTATACAGGGTTCACACCAAAATGCCCGGCATTATGGTGTGAACTCTGCATAAATGTTAATCACTACTTATCGACTTCAGATTTGACATTAATTAGGCAGACAACTAATATAGTTAGAACTATATAACTTATATAACTAACTTGCAGAAACATAGTATTTTTTTGTTCCTATTAATTTGAGTGCAAAAAAGCGTATAATGCCTCGCGTATATCAGAAGGCCGTGATAAATGTGAATGATGAATGTTGATTATTCTATTTGGTGGTTAAATATGCAGTATGCTTTAATTAATTTATTAAATGATAATGAATGTCGTGTGAACCCAGGCTATGTCAATTTTTTTGTTCCTGATTCATTATTAAAGATGTGAAAACGTGTCTTATCTTCATTTTTTTATTTTCATTTCTTAACAAACTTTTTCAATGCATCAAACTTATTGAGAAAGTTTCAAGTCATAGATTATTTATGGAAAGTTATACAGTGAGCTTATCTATCGTATTAAAACCGTCAGCGGTAAAAACCCAACTTTAGCGCCACCGAACAGCTCCTTCAGTTCTGAAGCGATCTCTCTGAAAGTTTAAACAAACGTAATTAGAGCAGTGAAAAATGTTAAAATTTTTACCCTTTGCGCTTTTGATCAAAACAATACTAAAAAATATAACTTAGTACTCACTTCAGTGAGTGACAGAGAGCGCATTTTCTCGTCGACGAAAACTTGAGGTCACGGACAGACGGACGGACGGACAGACAGACAGACGGACATGGCGAGCACAATAGTGCATTTTTTCCATAAATGAGAAAATGCGCTAAAAATACTAAAAGAAAGTAAAGTTAATTTAGATCTAAACGGCAAGGATAGGTTTATAATAGAAGTGTCGGCGTTGAAGAAATAGGTCCATGGATAGGCCATTAGGATAGGATGAATTAATTTCGGATAGATTTTTTTATGATTTAACAACAAGTTACCTTATCTCAAAAACCACAAACAAAAATTGTTAAGGTTTCGTTTCAATTGAGAACGGAGTGACGCAAAAAATATGTGGTTATTGAATAAATTTGGTGTAAATCAGTTCAGAAGTGAGTGACATATGAGCTTTTCTGTTTCACATTTATAACGTTTTGCGTTTGAATCCGCTGACAAGGTAGCTGGCGAGCACGGAGAAATGTTCACCCAGCAGTAGGCTATTTGTCTCTACCCAACCGCGAGAGATTATAATTAAGTTCGCAATGAACTTGATATCTTGATAGTGCCCTCGTCCCGGGCAATTCTTCGGCCGTTCTTGAAGAACTAACGAATATTTTGGAGAAAATTTCTGCTTATAATTAATGTTAAGGTTAGACTAGGCTAAGGTTAGTATTTTCAAAACAAATATAGACTTTTCTCAATGAGCAGCCTGTCATGAATCATAAATGCGTCATTAGAGGATTATATAAAAAATCGTAAAAATCCATACCCTTCTATTTCATGCGTCATAACACAAAGCATGCCAAGAAGATTGATAAAGATTGATAACTCGTACAAAATTTATCTAATTACGCTTTTCATTTAGATAAAATTATATTTGTAGTAATTCTAATAATTATATAAATGACCCACGTGCCGAAACCGGTCAGAAGCATTATCAATCCAGATTTCATCAGTAAGCAAAAACTCCAACAAAAAATTCATTAAATTATTATTCAAATAATCCATTTACCATTAGAATAACCTGTAAAATGAATAAAGATTCTCTTTAATACGTTTTTTGTCTCAATGTTCAATTCCAATCCAAAGATCTTTGACTTCATCATTGGAATGTTTCAGAGTCTTTTAAAACACGCGCCGTGTCGTGTTGTTTACATCAAGACCTTGAGGAGAAGAAGACGGCGAAAATATTGCATATGAATACTTGGAAACTACAAGCTTTTGCTTATCAGTGTATCTCAAAGATAAAAATGTTTATTTGAATTTTAGTAATTTTCATTCGTTTGATAGCTCTTTGGTATTTTTCAATCACTCGCGTTTATTTTGGCCATCAGTGTCATGGCTGGAACTGAGGGGTAAGTCAAAGCCTACGTTGTTCCGACTTGCCTAAAACTAATAATTAAATTATCCTCATTTTTTAACATTATGGTTGTTATTTCTTAGTGTTTGTAGACAATATAAAAACGTTAAGGTTTTCAATGTTTACCTTATCTATTTACGCCATATGAATAGTAATTTCTATATGTTATACCGCGCGCATGTGGAGTTGTAAACCTAGTGAAAATGTGAAATGATTCCTTTAATATAGGCTACAAGTCTACAAATGTTGTAAAACTTTAAAAAAAATTACCGTCATCACTAAGCTGCTTAAAATTTTCTTTATTTTTCTGCATGTCTGAAGTCTGATGAATAGTAGGCTAGGTAGGTATGCTTTGTAAACTGAGAGAGAGTAACTTGATAATTTGATTTAATCAAAATCAAAAGACAGATATTTTTAGTCTTATTAGAAAATTGAAAATTGCATGTCCTATTACTAATTAGGAACAAGAAATAATTAGTTTTTAGAAATGTCAGGTATTTTTTAGTTGTTAGTGCCAAAGTGGCTTGGGTGGAATTCCAGAAATCAAAGGGTAAACGCGGAATATTCCGACAAATAAGGATGTAGCAAAAATTCCAAAAAAATGAATGGCTATAAAAAAGTCACCGTCTGCACAACTCTAGTTCTGTTTGCTAAGTTACGTCACTCTCAAAACACCGCACTACGCTCCAGCAACAATGAAACGTCACAAACTGTTGCCATATTTATTTAAGTCTTTAGAATGCAAACCTACCAAATCCATATATTCCGACGCTGTGTGTGACTAAATTTGGCATTTTGTGAGACTAATTCCAGCCATGCTTCAAACTACTAAATAAGTCTAATTCGTAATTCTGACCCTTTTGTGCTCTAATTCTGAGTGCTGTGTCAGTGTGTGAGCTGTATTGGAATACGACACAGCTTGGAATTAGAACACTATTGAATATTGAACACTACTTGATTAGGCATTTAATTAAGAGATATTAGGCTTTTAATTAAGAAAATTTTAATTTTTGCACACAGCTCGGAACGAGCTGTGTGTGTCTAATTCCAAGCTGTGTTGGAATTAGTTTTTATATGTCGTAAACAGTCTCTTAACTTAATCATCTATTAATTTATTTACCACTTGAAATCAGCAAATACAAGTAAATACTTGAAGGATTCCTAATATATTCACAGACTTGTTTAAAAGTCTCAAACCATAATATTCTTTCTACACAAAGTTTATCACTATTTGGTAGAGAAAGGTCAACTATCAACTTTGACATGTTTTTCGATGTTCTCACTGGGTGACTTGCACTGTCTCTCTTTGGATCTCAACATTTTCCTGCCAGATGGCCCAGACCTTGTGTTTTGGCAATAGTATGGCATGCATTCGCTCAATAGTATGACAGCACTATTTCAACCATCAATGAATGCGTGGAACTAAGACAAAGCTTAATATGAAAGAAAAAAGTTGAGAAGTATTGGAATTACCCAGATGTCGGAATATACTGCGTTTACCCTAGCGTCATAGCAGGGACTTTTTCAGGTTTTGACCGTTTCACTAATTTTTTTCCTTTAACTCATAAGTAGACCAGTAAAGTATCATAGATATCAGCATCAACTTACATAAAGGCCCGTTTCCACTACAGTACTGATTCTGAAGGATTGAGATTGGCCTGAGACCAATAAGCCACATGGCTGGACTTGGAAACTGGCGTGCGAGTTTCCACTATGTGCGTGTGCTGGGACTGGGACTGACCGTCTAGGCTACCGCACTTGCTGGCCTTTGAAGATAGATTATGCTACCGCTCTTGCTTTTACTAGCTGTTGTCACTATGCGCAGGAGGAAACAAAGATCTATTTACCTAATAGCAGTTATGAAATGAAAGAATGGTTTCAAACTTCTCATTAACATGGTTTATCAGTGTAATAACATGCATTCACCAAGGGATTAAGAAACAGCATTATCTTATTATACCTTTGATGTGTCGAGAAAATTTAATGTAATAAATATGTCACAATGTTTAACCATGTCTGGTTTTTGGTCTATAGATTTAGATGGTATCATAGCGTGTTTCACAAATGCTACTACTATTATTGGTTAATGTGTTTATTTACTATTTACTGAGTATACATACACTTTGGGTACAATAAGATAATTAAGATTTTTTAATTGATGGACGAGTGAATCTATGTCAATAAACAGATAAAATCGGTCAATGAGAAGTTAGGAAGTATTATTTCCATTTTTCGATGTTCGTGGATGGATATAATTTCTCCATTTCTTCACTTATTTTCTCTAATTCTCAAGATTCTGTCTCTGTAAAAAGAGCTTTTTACTTGCCAGAAGCAAGGTGCCTCTCTATATAAATTGATAAGCCTTTCAGTGACATCTCTGCTCCAGTCTCCGTCATGCGACATGGTCAGTTAAGCAAAGAGGCAGGCAATGGTGCGTCTATTGGAGCGCCCGCCCAGCACACAACCTCTTTGAATGAAAGTCACAGCAACACTGCCGATTGCCCGTCACGCAAGTCCAGTAAAAGATTGAACAGCGCATAACTCCCCGTCACTCCAGTCTCGATGGTCCGGACTGCCTCAGTCCGGACTGAAAAAGCCAGTTTTTCAATCGTCAGTCTCGCAGAGTCTCATAGTGGAAACGGGCCTTTAGACATTGGTTTAAATCTCTAGTAATAAATAATAAGAGTAAGAAACACAACAAATGAACTAGTACTCGTGACCCTGTAACCAACTATCCAACTTTGCTGCTTGGTGCCATGGTGCAATTATAGAATTGGTATTTGGTTGTACTTAATTCAGTCTTGGCATTGGCAAAGGATGCCCAGTCTTAGTCCCTTGGGGGGGGGGGGGAAAGGTAGTCAGTTGTGACAGGAGACAGGACTTTTTGACTGACAGAAGTTAAGAATTTAAATAATTTATTTATAGATCAAAGACAAAGTCACCAAGAATTCTTATGTTGAATATATAGTTAACTTAAAAAAATATAAAATTTAATATTTTTGATGTTTCATATTTAAAATAAAGTATATCTTTACAAGTGTTGATTGTCAAAGTAGTGAGTTGGAGCAAGTTACCATTTTATCAGAGCCGGCAGAGGAATACAATTCAACATACACAAAAGGCAATTCACATGGTAAATTAAAAAAAAAAAGAATCAAATAGTAAAATATCTTACTTCCATAGGTTGCAAAATACCAACAATGACAGACAAAATGACATTAGCTTACTTTCATAGCTTTGCACAGGCTATTGGTATGACTTCTAGCTTACTTTCATAGCTTTGCACAGGCTATTGGTATGACTTCAACTCAAGCACACTCCACTCTTTTGTTGTTGTTGTTGTAATTGCCCATCCTGGTAGTGACGACTAGGGAGGGGGGTGATAGGTCAGTTTTTCCGGGCACTTGATGCCACTGATAGTTCTATGACCATCACTGGCTTGCTGACCTGCCAGAACCATTTTATTGCCCTAGACACCCTGGACAAGCCTTTATTGCCTTTTAACACCCTAGACAAGCCAGGTACTCATTTATCAACCAAAGTTGGATGAATGGCTGAGTTTACCACGAGCTGAGCTTCCCAGAAGAACTTGTCCTCAGTGGGACTAGAACCCAGGAGCTGGGTGCAAGAGACAACTCAAACTCGGGAGCTGGGTGCAGAGTCTCTCACCACTGCACCACCACAGCTCCACAGCTTTCACTCCTTTGTTCTTATTCTTTGGATTGAAAAGTTCAATTGGAATCCAAACAGAATTTTATCAATGGGCAGTTGGCAGTTCCAGGAGTGCCATTCAACATGTTAAGTCATATTTTTGACAGATTTGGAATTTTTCAGTTCAATCCTGCAATTTTTGAAGAATTGAATGGGGGATAATTTATGTAGCAGGAATCTTGTCTTGGGGCTTCAAATCTGGTGGGAGAACTGAAGTTGTGGCTTGGAGTGTTGATTATATCCCATGCCTGGTCCAATAGAAGCTATATTAACCTATAAAATACTGAACCTAAATTTTTCACTAAGATCTAGACAGCTTTTTAATTCGTGTGTTGATCACTCCAGCTGGGTCCTTTGCTCAGTTCAAAAACATCCCCTGAGTTATAAAGGGAAGGTCAAGACCAGTTATTTCATTTCAATATGCCATGTGCACCTGTTCTTCAGTGAAGCTATCAAATGACTATTTGACGATATTTGTTGATGCACAAGAAGAAAAATTGATTTCATCTGAGGATCTTGCCAATGCATTTCTTTTTAAATTTCTTTTTCCTGCATAAACTGCCTCCTAATTGGCAAAAACCTTAAAGATTAAGGCATTCTTAGTGGCTAATCCTCAATAATCATAGTAACACTTTGGGCCTATAAACCTGATATTGGCAACATAATTGCAAAACTTAGCATAGTGGCACCTTTTCATATAGATGCTTGACAGTAAAGTGAGGCACAATATTGGTCAAGGTGTTGAGGATGCCAAATTCATTGCCTCAATGACACCAAGGTAGGATCATGGTGGATGGCCATTGTCATTTGGTTTCAACTTCATTGTAATTTACTGTTTATAAATGTGGCTTGATCAAAATGTTTAGTATGATTTGTAAATAATTGACACATATTACTATGTTTTAAAATAAATGTCTACTTTTCCTTGCTCAACTGATATGTGCTTCAAATTGTTCTAAACCCAATTGATTAACTCAAACTATTAGAACATTAACCTACCAAAAGGAAAAATTTCATGATTATGTTGGATTGTTAGGGACCACACATTTCTTGGAATAATTTACTTAGCATTTGTTGCAGTTATCATCACATATGTTAGCATTTGTAAGTACAATTGGAGCTACAGAATGTGCTCTATAATTGTTTATGAAATTTATTGTTATGTATCAAATTATTTCCATTACAATAAGCTGCATCCAAAATAATGTGTGCAATGAACATAATGCATTGGTAGTACTGCATCCCATGTATTAAAATTACTAGGTATCATATTTGCTTATAAATGGTTTACTTATAAAACCATATTAAATGAAAAACATTATATAACAAATGAAATTTAATAGGTCCTATCTAAGCAGGGTATTTCTATATCTCATTGTGGATTAAATTTCTATATTATCTGTATTTTCTAAAAGGTTTGTCATAGTTTTAGGAATCTACACTTTTTGGTCTGCCATTTCAAATTTTTTCTGCAAGGGAAAGAATCAATTAAACCATCAAAACTGTAATACCAGCCAATTCTTCTTTCTTTTTTGTGCAACTCTAGATTTTTTTTATATCGATGCAAAATTTTTGTACCTGTTTGTAAGCTGATAATATTTGCCAAAATGTGAAGATTCCAAATAATTGAAATTACAATCTCCACTCTTTAACTTCTTGTTTCCACTAGTAATGCCATAATTTCATTATATTTGTCAATTATAGAACTAACATTACAATTTGATGAGGTATTGCATGAAACAGTATTTCATTATTATTATTTACTGTCATCCAGGTACCGAGGTGGAGGCAATGGTGGAGGCCGATACAATGGTGGTGGAGGGGGCCGATATGAAGGAGGTGGTGGTGGGAGGTATGATGGTGGCAGATATGATGGTGGTGGGGGTGGTGGAGGTCGTTATGATGGCCGTTACAATGATCGAGGAGGAGGAGGAGGGGGTGGTGGTTATGACAGACGACAACCCAAGCCTATGCCCACTGAGCCGCCATTCACAGCATATGTAGGGAATCTGTCCATCCAATCAGTGCAGGGAGATGTTGAGCATCTCTTCGAGAGTGAGGGAGTGAGTATTGATACTTTGTCTTGTCCTTCATATTGTGTGCTTGATAAAAATATTCTGAAATTAGAGTTTCTGTTTTTGAGGTATAGCTGTAAATAATATTGAATAATGTTATGTTTAACATTGAGCATTTGGTGTTTCGAAACTAATTATTGCTTTCTAAAAATTGAATTTTCTTTCTTCTTTACAGCTGAAAACAAAGAATGTACGAATGGTTCATGACAGGGAGACGGGTAACTTCAAAAGATTCTGCTATGTGGAATTTGAGGATGGAGCCGACCTGGAGAAGGCATTAGAACTTGACGGCGCTCAATACATGGAGTGCTCCATTAGAGTTGATATTGCTGGTAAAATTTCTTCACTCTAATTTGGCTCTTACTTGAATTTCTTGGCATGACTCAAGTTGCAAAACCTATCTATATCAGTTGAGCCTAATAACAATGTTTGCTCAAATTTTGCTCACAAATATTTTTCTTTATGAGTCTAATTTTTCTTATTATCTTACATACACTTCTGCTCATTAGCATTGAGTTTAATTCCATTACCCTCTACTCTGCTTTGCAAGTTAATTTAGTTTGACATGGAAATTTGATCTTGAAATTTTGATTTGCTGGCTTAATCTCCTAATGTCTAGTCACTTTAGACAGAATTCAGTCATTGAGGAGCATATGGAGCACTTCACATGCAATGGATGGTATTCTTACACTCAATTACTCTACCATATTACATACCACGTTATTTAAGTATATTATTCCCACTACTTAACTTCATTTCCATTTGGGCAACTTGCCTCCTGCCTCACACTTTTAATAACTATGCAGAAAGAATTGTTATCTAAGTTTGTATACTAAACATATCGAGGTACGTACTACTTGTCACAGCATCTTTATCTCCAATACGCTCTGCACCAAAAGACCACATGTCTGGAATTAGAGGAGCATTGTTTTTAGCATCAGATCTCTTGAGATTCTTAGCCCATGTCACCCCTTGCCTGATGATCAACACAGTTCAGTTTACATTGCCTTGACTCCTACTCAATCATGTCACGTCTTTCTGCAATGCAGGGGCTCAGTAACTCTGAACAGGACGTGTATTATTAATGCTGCCACCGTCAGGAGTAGCTTATTTATAATGAAACCTTACCTAGAACAGCCACCATTTTGCTCTGCTAACGATCTTCATCAGTAGTAACTAATTTGCACTAGGAAGAACAGTACAGGTAGCTGTGGATGAAGCAACAAATGCTGAATTGCTGTGGAATGGCAATCAATATGTGACCCCATTTTATTTTGCTGTAAATTATCTTATTTCTTGCACACCTTGCAGATCAACCCAAGGGCCGAGGTGATCGAGATGGTGGTTTTGGGGACCGAGGGCGTGGCAGAGGCCGAGGTAGAGAAGACTACGGCGGCCGTAGAGATGATTTCCGTGGTGGCCATGGTGTGCTGTCTTGAAATATTTATTCTTGAAATTTGTACAATTTTTGTTTAGTATTTTTCCATTTTAAACTGCTCTTTTAGCTGCCTTCTTCACTTCGTTTTTAAATGTTATTTCTTTTAACTCAATATGTATACTGGATTGTCACCACTTGTTACTATCCATGCATCTGAAATTAAATTTTTGAGTGACATGAGTATAGCTGAAAATCCTGATCAAAACCTTTCAACATGAAATGTATATCCGGTTAAATGACGATTTCCTTTTCCAGCAGTTCTGCATTTTATTGTCGAGCTCAACTAGGTAAAACTTTTAATTTCACAGGCGGTGGTGACTGGGGCCCAGGCGGCGGTGGAAGGTACCGTGACGGCGGTCCTGGTGGCATTCGCGGTGGGTTCAACGATCGAGGAGGTGGTGGCTTCGGCGGCGGTGGTGGATACGGTGGGGGACGGTTCTCTGGTGGAGGCGGTGGTCCCGACTTCGGTGGTGGGAGACGCGAGCGGCGGGACAGCGACCGTTCCCGCAATGCCGAGGAATTCCGGGAGCCAACTGCCGGTCAGAATTTTGATTGCATTATCTTTCTATTGGTTTATTTTTTTTATGCAGAGGTATACGTTTTGATTGTTGTATTTTATCTCTTTCTCATTTCATTGTTTCCAGATGTCTGATAGTACTAATTTCTGAGTCCTCATTCTCAACTTCTCCTTGCAGCAAGTAAAAAAATCTATACTGTCCTATAATGCGCATTTTTGGTATTGGGCAACTTTCCTCAAATTTCCTTTGTGAAGTAATTATTGCTGAAGTGTCTTGAATAACTAAAAATATTTCCTTTATATAGAAATAACCGTGCAACCCTCATCAATGCCAAGCTCTTCTATGTTCAATTAATTTTTGTTGATATTTCAGAGGACGTGGCCAACAGACCCAGGTTGAAGCTGTTGCCGCGCACCGTCAAGGATCCCATCAACCAGATCGCTGCTGCTACCTCCAACGCCAGCATCTTCGGCGAGGGCAAGCCTCGGGACGAGACCAAGTTCTCAGCCAAGCCGTGAGCGTCTCCCATATCCCTTGATGGTAAGTGTGACGGCATTCCTGTGAGTCTCTGGCCGCAATATCAGAGTATTTTTTCCGTACAACTATTGACCATTGTTTAACTGCACCGGCACGAATGCACCGGCAGTCGATATGATTACCACTTTGTTACCATATAGTCGGTGTAAAATTATGCAGTGTGACAAGAGTCAAGTTGGTATGAAAATAAAATTCTGAAGAAATTTTAAACATTACAAATTAATCCATAGTAATTGAATAGTAGTTAGGTATCAAAGTAACTCAGTAAGCCCATATGGCAGATTGTAATACTTCCGTAAATGAAGACTCTGGGAAACCTGCGGGTACAACGAAGTGCAGCCCTTGAGGTTTTTAGGGCCCAGTGCTTAGGGCCCAGAAATTGGCCGACTGGTTTCCTTATTCCTGGTGTTTAGCAAAATCCCTTGGCTGTTTCAAATCGAATCGAAATAAATTTAACGCTTTTTCTTTATACCATCTCTAGCATCGGCAAGTCTAGAGATAACATATTGGTTCATACTCGCCATCTAACGACGTTGACGCAATACTGGCTTTGCACTAAGATATGCTTCGTGTTTCAGGTATGGAATTCAGGCGCCCGCACTTCGTTCAAGAGACGTCTCCTCATCTCTGCGCCTGAAGCGTCAGACCTACAGACTTTCCCCAATTACTAACTTGAAGCCCTCCTGACATCTTGGTGACATCTTCTCACAGAAATAATAGCTCTATGTATGGAAATTAATATCGGGTTTTAGTCTCAACGTTTCTTGCCATGATGGTCAGTTTTTTACTAACTCTTGATTGGCGTATAGGACGCTACTGAGTCTATATTTTGCACTGCCGTTTACTGCTACTCATTTATGTCAGATTACATTGAGTTGAAAGAAGCCATGTCATGATTTTGCCTAGAGACTATCTAGGAAACAAGAAGCTTTCTCCTGATGTTCAGGCTTTTCTATTCTGAAAATCCTAACCATTTCTCGAACAGCTATCTGATAATTTTGCGACTCTTTTATCTACTAACTTTTTTTGAGATGTACTCTCACTGCTGGCGTGTGGGGCTTCTGTGTGTTCCGCTTTTCCATTGAATTGAAGTTTTAGAGTTGTTTTGTTGATGTCTCGTAATAATATCTCTTGACGGTAAGTCAAGCCCGAATAACCGTTGATTATCTCGTTTTTAAATCCTGTAAGCGCGTGCTGCCACGTTCTTAGTGACAACAGTTGCCGGCATGTCTGCTACTTTGAGCCCTTCTTTTCGTAAACTTAAGATTAACTGATTTCTTAATATCTCCATCATCGCTCATGATTTTAAATTACTTGGTTTACCTTATAACAGTGGAAACTGCTTTCGCGGACTTGGAAACCTTGTCGAAAGTTTCCTGTGTCATGTGGTGTAGAGAATGAATGAAATTCGCTTAAACGATTGATACTTTATATTGTACGTTGTACGACCCGCCGTCTGGGGCTGCTAGCGTCATGGCTGGAGGAGATACACGCGCGTACTAGCTATTATCCTTCAAGTCTAGATAGTAGCTATTCTCACTACGTTCCTATACACTTCCCACAACTTTCTGTGCTTGTATTTTTTTTCTTGAATTGCAGACTAGATTGGACTAGAAGTCCTAGGTTCACGTGTTTCTTGATGCTTTTGACACTTCAAAAACACGACTGGTACCGGCGCGCGCTCGCGTCGCAGGTATCACTTTAACATGGAACATTTTTTTAAATTTCATAACGCAGCCACTGATTGGAAACTTGGGTTGTTCTGAGAACTTCTTTTATATAGATTGCTGCCCGGCGTTCATTCATTCTCTGTTCTTCCTACCTCACTTTCTTTGTTGGATTTTGTCAAAATAGGCACTAATGAAGGGAAGATTTATGCAGAAAAATTGAATGGTGGCAGCACAGCCCATGAGAAAGGGCTTTAAAACATAGCCCAATCGCTCTCGTTCTCGACCACACTACTATTCAGGCATTCACTCGGGAACATGAAGTGACAACGTTCTCATTCCAAACTATAATTTGGTGAGTATATGAAGTGTCATCCAATAGAATTATTCATTTGAAAACGAGCTGCTAAGACACGGAAACTGGTCGAGATCCAGAAGTTTGGCTGTAGCTGACGTTTAGCTTCTAAGACTTGTTTGGCTCTGAGCATCATTTGAGCTCATTTAAATCCTTTGCTTTTCTCCTGGAACTCGCTAGCTGTCATCCTATTGTCTTGCTTCACTTTCGATCAGTTGTTGCCTTAACTAGAAACATCGGAATCGACTGTGAAATGTAATATACAGTTTAAAAAGTTCAAATCTTATTCTAGTACTAATTCTATAGTGTATAGAAGTATTCGTCTAGAGAAGATTTAGATACGTCGAGGCGAATGGTGGAGTTTTGAGGCGCTTGCTCTCGCTCCGCTTCCCAAGTTATTAATGCAGCATAAATCTTAGGTATTTGTTCCTCATTATTTAAGGTGCTCAGTTGAAGGAACCTCTTCTCTCTTTCTTTAATATCTGCGGCTGTTTTGGAGCGTCCATATTGTTTGAAAACTATTTGCTTGGAACTTGGGGGTTTGCTTATCTTCTCTCTCTCTAAATCATCAATATATAGAATAGTTGTATTTAGTTGTAACCTGGTTTACGTGCGCTTTACGACCTTAACGCTCCGTCTTTGAACCACTATACCGGATTAGCTGTGCCAGTATCCCAATTCTATGGAACGAAATGTGATTTTTTTTCTTGCTATCGGGATTTCTTGATTGGTGGAATTAGTTGAAGGTGTCGAATCTATCCAGTGTTTTTGTATCGGCATTAGTATAATTATTTTTTTACATTAAATCAAATCAACATGGGACGAGGAGACTCGTGTTCATGTGTTTAACGCAACTATAATTTGCCTTGCCTCGAATCTAATCCGGCATGCACTATATTTTGTGCCGTTGGTCCGCAAGCTTTTTTTTACAATTGTTCCTAAAAGTAACCATTGCTCAGCAGCAGGCGAGTGTCTTAGCCTCGTGTAGGACATCCATAGCTTGCGTTTCATGGTCGTGGATTGTAAATTAGGGAGTCGACGGATTGGGTGTCATGCTCGTTCTCTGCTCTAATCTTTGGTCTGATGATTTTTAGTTGAGTTTCAGTGAATTTCTGGTTTGCGTGTGCGTGGAGAAGTTTACCTCCTGTTTAGTGTGTTAGTGCACAGCTGAGACTGCTAAGTATCTGGGGTTAATAATTTGTCTAAGATCACTGTACTATAGTACTATGCGTCCTGTTTTCAATACTTTCAACTTCTTGTAAAGAGACTAGCGATCTAAGGTTGGTGTGAGTACTCGCGTTAGTTCCAATTTAGTCTCCGTAATTCATCATGACTGTCGTGATATCATCTTTTTGTTGAGCGGCCAATCGTTGCTGCGGTGCGAAGTGTAGACTTTCGTACTCCATTAAAAAATCCATAAAAATGCAAAAGAAAAAAATCGATAAAGAAGTCATTTCTAACTTTTGCCTATGATAAGTGGAACGCATTTTGCATAGTCAGTGTTGTTTAGTAATAAATATGATACGATTGGTGTGCTTCATTATCCTGGTTGGGATAGCAAGAGTATCGTGCATCAGGTGGCCCAAATGAGGGTGGATGAGCGATAATCAGAGGCGGAGATCCATCGTGGCCTGGGACTGCTACGTCCCAAACAAATACTAAGGATACTAAGGTGTCACCCACTCAAACTATTATAGTTCCGTTATGTCGATTATGACCTACTTCCTAGACTTTATAAGGACTGTATTCCTCCGCTTATTTTTCGGCGAGTTTTTCGTTGTCCTGCAGTTGGCAATTTGGCGCCTAGCCAAGCACACGGGTCGAAAATGACGGGGAAACTTGACATTTTATCATAAAATGTATTCAGTGAATAAATATTTTACAAGGTGATGAAAGTCCCGATTTATTTGTTTTAATACTGTGAAAATTAAATCATGACGACGCCTTCATCATAACCACCTGATGATGTAAGTTACATTTCTCTCGGGAATAGAATGAAGTTGCTAGCTACACGAAGTCTGCGTCATCTCACTCCTTACGTCTTCAGTGACTCAGGCTCTATCACAACCAAATGGTCTGAAGGCTTTGCAATGAGCTCGCCCCTCGCTGTGTTAGAATTTCAGCCCGCGATGACCGGCACGCACGGCGGGAGGGGCGCAGACCACTTGCCTGTTCTGAGACACTTGAGCCGGTCAGGCCCTGCTGGTCTGTAGCCTGGGGAGCAGGAGACCAGAAGTTGGGCCTCCAGGCGGTAGCGCAGCAGGCGTGGCGACACCCGCCCGTTACGTGGGTTGCCCGGCGACTGACACGAGATCACACCTGCGTGAGTTTTGGAAACAATAACTATGCGCCATTGTTTATTTAACTTATGAGCGTGTATTAAATAAGGATGACAAAAGGCTGCGTAACATCTACCATCTACCAACCGAACACCTACATCTACTCGTCTACCTAACCCGAACGAGACTAACTCTGCAGTGAGTCGCCGCCAAAATGACGTGACATTCCGTTGGTCATAGTCAGCCTTTGTTGGTCATAGTGACAGGCACTAGCTGCTGAACTAGTTTTTGATTTCGAATATCTATGGCAAGGGACTGGACGTAGAAGGCCAGGTTTAACACTCTAGGAAAATGAGCACGATTTTCACGATGAAAAAATGTATGACAGGCACACGCTGCGTTATTAACAACGATCGGATTAATTTTACCTGGAAGTAAAATTTGTAAAAAAAAATCGTCATAAATATTGTTATGATGCTCAGACCGAAAATAAATGGATGCAAATGAGAATATTAACAGCACATCACATTTACGAGTGCGATTACGGCAAACTTACAATTAATGGCATGCGATAAGAACCCATCCAGCCCATTGGCCTCATCTGAGGGTTGACAACAGAGAAGAAGACGAGCACAGCGCTGTGTCTCGACCATTCTACTTGTCCTCGAGCTCACAGTCCCACTCACAGTTTGGTTTAGGCTTGGACCACGTCCCGGCGTTGGTGCACGTCACGATCCTCGGTCCCTGCAGCACGAAGGCCTCGTCACAAGAGTACACGGCCACGTCACCCACGCGACGAAGGGCGGCGGTACTCACGCTGCCGTGCTCTGGGCTCTCCGGCGCCGGGCATACAACCTCTGTTCATTTGTAGGTTTACGACGTCAATACTGGAAATATTATCGTAATGTAATAAATGGATTTAAACAAAGTGAAGTGATTTTTAAGAGTTTATCTCTTGACTGCATCAATCAAATAAGAGTATCGAAACACCATGTTTACATTTGACGTCATGTTTACATGTTGCATTAAATGCTCTTCGCACAACTCGAGTTCTACACATTGCATGCAAATGAGTAAGCTTATAACAATGAATTATTGCAACAGCAAAAGAACTACTCAGTATGTTTTTTAATTCAGAAAACATAAAATCTAATATTTGACAGAGTTCTCTGTCGCCCCCTTATGTGTGGGAAGCGTATACGCTTGCCTGTCATGATGCAAGAACGCGCTTGGTCATTAAAGTTCTAAATTTAGAAGTTTTTTAAACAAATCCTATCTCACAGGCAAAGAAGTCGGCACCAAAGCTCTAGTCACGTAAGTCAGCACCAAAGCTCAAGTCACGTAAGTCAGCACCAAAGCTGCAGTCACGTGAGTCGGCACCAAAGCTCAAAGGCCGCCTAAGAATCTTCCAGAGGGCAAAACATCAAAATTACTGACTAAAGATCACGGTGAGCAGCCTCTACATTAACCGCACATTGATTCTAATATTAATCCTGCTAGGTTTAATAAACGAACCTTTGCAATGAGGCACTGGGGCCGACCAGGTGCCGTTGGTGAGGCAGACGATGGAAGGCGCTGCCGTGAGCGCGTAGCTCAGGGGACAGGCGAACAACGCGACGCCGCCTGCGGTGAGCGAGAGATGCCGCAGACGAACCAGCGGGGGCAGGGGAGGGAGCGCAGGACACCTCACCACCTCACACGCAGGCGGGACTGCAGCCGACCACAGGCCTACCGATGATTAGTGAGCCTCATGTCTACGGGTGAAGTGTTGCGGAAGTTCATAATTACGACCTGCCTACTAATTACTGTTAACTGCCTCGGTTCGTGTGCCTATCCCGTGAGTGAGCAGAGCGGTTGTGAATGCGATACATCGGACTAGTAAACATGGTTTGTCCATAGGGCGGAAATATATTGCAGATGATGATAATGATAAACGATGTAATTGTACAATTGTCCAGCAATAAATAATCAGGCTTGGAATAACTCTTGTTAAATTTTTCGGACTTATATGGTCATTATCCGCGAATCATATTTAACGTTATTAATCGTGTATATACAACACGTCGCACAGAACGCTCCCGACTGATTTTCATTCAAATTCTGTTTCCTCATTGCCAACCCGATGGAAGACATGTCATTTGTTGTGGTCCATTTAAGACGTAGCCATCGAAGCACGTAAAGAATCGTGATGACCCCATGGTGGTGCCGGAGCCGGCGACAATGACGCGGTCATCACCGCGCGTCTGCCGCCGTCCGAACACCACGGCGGGCAGGGCGCTCTCAGGGACACTCCTGGCGACCACCAGCTCAGCGCACCGCAGCTCTGCTCACATTTTGCTCTGCTGTCTGAGTTTGTTGGGAAAATAACTCAACGACAAAAATTTCAGTTGTGATAAGTAGTTTTTTGCATATTATGTTTTACAAATGTGCTACTGTGCCCCGAAATTAATGCTTAAAAGGCCAAATACAGTATTTGTATCTTGCCCACCCGATCGAAAATTATTGACTGCTTCAGTGAGAATTTTTTTAACCTTACCATTCAATGAAGAGATGTAGTCGAATGCTGCCTAAAATTCATTGTTTAACAAGAATAGGTTTATACAATTCATGGTATAACGGGAGTATGGCTATACAATTACTTGCATAACGAGAGTATGGCTATACAATTGCTTGCATAATGAGAGCATGCATGGCTATACAATTGCTTGTATAACGAGAGCATGGTTATACAATTGCTTGTATAACGAGAGCATGGGTATACAATTGCTTGTACAACGAGAGCTTATAAAAGGAATTTTGCATAACAAGAGGCTGTACAAAGAAAGGTATACCTTTGACCAATATCGTGATGGAGTTAGTGAGCGCAGAAGGCGCCGTGCACGTGAAGGTGCCAGAGTCGTGCTGCCGTGCGTAGTACACGGAGAGGCGGTAGTGGAGGTCGCGCTCCGAGCTGCTCAGTGACCAGCCTGCGCGTTTAGGCAGGAGTATAACACACGCGCCACGTCAATTTTATGGTACTGAATCAACGCGAGTACAGTCGTAAAACTATAGGTAGTAAAAGAAATTTATTAATAGTAGCACGAACTGAGTCTCCATGAAGTCTGCACTTTAAATAGTTTGGCAAATATTTAAATTTTTATGCGTGCAAAAAATGGAATTTCTTATATAAAAATTTCATGCCCATGGCTCATGCATATAACAACTTCACTGGACTAACTTTTGCCTATTGCATGCAGGCGAAATGAAATATATATATAGTAACTCTATATAGGGATACAAACAAGTGTTGTAAGTTCCATTGTTCAGTCCTCGTGAACTGAAATTTTTCAGATCTCCGCATATTTTACGTTGAGGAGCATCAATTTTATGCCACGAGTCTGCTCAATTTGGAAAATGTTCACGTTTTGCCTTACATCTTTAAAACGAGTTCAAGACTTCCTATAGTCCACGGTCACGCAAAGAGTCTGTACTCTGGTCGCAGCTCGGTTATTAAAAAGCTGAGAATCCTGCCAAGTTATAGCGGTTAATCACGGAAAAATTGAAGCAGTGAGTTGCAAATTCAAGACCCACAACAAACTATGAATATTATGCGATGTACAGAATCGGCGATAGGTCTAACGACCTAATCAACGCTGACACTGCTATATTATACTATTATTAAATTATAAATTCACCAGTAGGGTATCTACGGTACTCAGGGGTCCAGCTCCAGGCCGGGTTCCCTGCCAGGCGAGGGAATAGGCAGTCCAGGTGCACGATGGCTCCTGGCAGCAGTACGAGCTGCCCGCCTGCTGCCACCACCGACACCCCGCCACCTGCCACGTGCCACACGATGGCAGGTGGCAGCGATTCTGCAGCCATCATGGAGAAAAAGATGTTACTTGCATTGAGTATTCAATTCTCATTGTAAATAATTGATGCATGCGATCATGGGAGCTATTTGATTGATGATAACTCAAGAAAATTTTCAAAATGGAGAACCAGACAAAAATCCGAATAATTTATTTACAAAAATTTGCTTTTCTGTCGATGGATATATTTGAATATTTTATAACTTCTTGATCACTTTCCACTTGATTGATTAATCTGAACTCGGTGAGTTTATAATTATTGACTCTTTGCAATTAATACAACTTACCTTATACGAGCGAAGCACCGTGCTGTAATAATGGCTTGTAACATGGCGGGTATAACAACTACCTGAGGTATAATTGGTGACGTGGTTGGTGTAGCACCGTGTTGCAATAGTGGCTTGTAACATGGCGGGTGTAACAACTCATACCTGAGGTATAATTGGTGACGTGGTTGGTGTCTGTGCATGTAACATTCCCCGACCAGCCCTCTGAGGTGCAATTGAAAGTATCACCGCCATTTTGTTTGAACAATCCAACATGGCGACATCTGATCATGGCGATATCATCGAGAGGGACGATCTGATCCATCTTCTGACGAACGAAAACAACAGCAGAAGTGAAAAAAGCTCCAGGGCATCGCCAAGATAGCCTGCCATTTCTAACAAATATGTTGTGTAAGGTAAAAAAAAACTACGAAATGGATTCAAATAATAAATCTAGCAACAAATCGTCTGTGTCTACACCAAGATTCGAGTCTGACAGTACACACATAAAAAATTATATTAATATTGATTTCAACTATATACTAGTTCCTCAAGTCGAATAAACCAGTGATCATGAATAACATAAACTATATTTTTTCATACCGTTGATTCGATTGGTCGGCCTGCGTAGGAATACACATGCTGGGGGTTGTGCGGCAGAGACGACAGCGGACAACCGCCGAATGTACCGGAGGAGTTCGTCGCTTGCACTGAAATTAATTTTCAAAGTTATACCAAACCTGCAGGTTGGCTTGGCTTTGCCCGGGATAGAAAAATAGTATTGAAATTTTTGAAGTCAGTTATTTCAAATTACTTCATGGCTTATCATCCAGAATTCAATTAATAATATTGAAAGTGAAGTAGGCTAATGTAATTTAAAAAAGACCCTTCAAACCTACATTTATCACCGAACCCTTATTCCAGTCCTGCTTTAATATTCAAATGACACCTGAACTTATAATATTTTCGTTAAATGCTCACTTATAAATGTAAAAATCACATTTAAATTTTTAAATTCTAACTCTTTCCTACGTTTTCCGCTGTGTCATGATTCCAGTTCTAATTTCAAAATTTTCGCTCAATATCCAGATAGGGTCCCAATAAGCTAACATTTTAGTGCAAGGTTTCAAATACATAAACTTCGACAAATATATAACAGATTATCAAAAACGACATTATAATAATTAATGTTAGAATAGGAATAGGAGTTGATCAATCATGCTAAATCCGCCTGTGTTAATTTTTAATGTAAATGAATTAAAATAATTGTTAAAAATAGGTTTTGAACCAATACCTTGATTTACAAATAAAATAACGATGCAGAGATGCAGGAAAGCGATCACGTTAGAACCTGCGTTGCTCTCCATAATAGATATGACGACTTGGACACAATTAGTAAGTAAGCAATTAATTCTGAAAATCTGTAACAAATTTGTACAGCGTTTCACAGTATCTGCTCACATCCTCTGAGATGAACAGAAAGAGATTACGTTAAAGATTAAACATCGACTGTCATAGAGGCATCAACAAGCTCCAGCCTCAGCAGCACTGCTTAGCACGCCAGTCTCAGCAGCACTGCTCAGCACGCCAGTCTCAGCAGCACTGCTTAGCACGCCAGTCTCAGCAGCACTGCAGCAGCACTGCTCAGCACGCCAGTCTCAGCAGCACTGCTTAGTACGCCAGTCTCAGCAGCACTGCTCAGCACGCCAGTCTCAGCAGCACTGCTTAGCACGCCAATCTCAGCAGCACTGCTCAGCACGCCAGTCTCAGCAGCACTGCTTAGTACGCCAGTCACAGCAGCACTGCCCAGCACGCCAGTCTCAGCAGCACTGCTTAGTACGCCAGTCACAGCAGCACTGCTCAGCACGCCAGTCTCAGCAGCACTGCTTAGTACGCCAGTCTCAGTAGCACTGCTCAGCACTCCAGTCTCAGCAGCACTGCTCAGCACTCCAGTCTCAGCAGCACTGCTCAGCACTCCAGTCTCTCAGCACTCTAGTCTCAGTAGCACTGCTCAGCACTCCAGTCTCAGCAGCACTGCTCAGCACTCCAGTCTCAGTAGCACTGCTCAGCACTCCAGTCTCTCAGCACTCCAGTCTCAGTAGCACTGCTCAGCACTCGTCTCAGCAGCACTGCTCAGCACGCCAGTCTCAGCTGGACACTGAAGTCTGTCTCAGGAAACAGTCGTCCTGGACGTGCTGTAGCAGATCTGCTTTAAGCTGGAGTTTATGGCTCTCCTGCTTTGGGGAATTTGTTTGTCATGGTGTTGGTTTACTGGGGCGTTGGTTTGTTGAGGCGTTTGTTTGTTTTGGTTTTGGTGTGTTTGGGCATTTGTTTGTTGGACTTGGGGCATTTGTTTGTTGTGGTGTTGATTTGTTGAGGCGTTTGTTTGTTGGGGCGTTTGTGTGTTATGACGTTTGCTCGTTTGATACCTGGGGCATTTATTTCATCTTCTCATTACACGTTATATCATTTTTCTTCAGATTTCACAAGTTATAAGTATTAGTGATAAGGACGGTCTAGGGAGGCCAGCTGCGTGACATAGTCGTTTCAACCCTTCCACACATGTTACGTCTCAGCTCGAGGTCACGTTGGCGTAGGTTAGGCATTGGATAGTTCATGGTAATAAGTCATCATATATATAAAATATAAAGGTATCGATGACATGGCAGTTCCTAAAAAATACCCGCATAAATAGAAAATTTCCACCGGGGCCGAAATGTTCTATGTCCAGGTCGAAAGAAAATGTAAAAATGTTCCTACATATGTAAGCCCACAAAATATAAGTCCGAATATTCCAAGCGTCTCTATAAATATCGCGCAAGACTCGGTAAATGGATTTTAATTCCCTCATGAGATGCATTGGAAACTGGGTAATTCTAGAATGATTATTATGTGACAAAACATTGTTGATCTTTTCGAATTATGACATCCTATTTTATTCTAACATTACCACGAGACGTAAGTGCAGGCTACCTAGGTACGTTTACAATTTTCCGAACATGCCTTATTTTAAAATTCATGAGTAATAAAATAATATATTTTGAAACGTTCACTACATCGTGTCGAGTGCTCTTTCTCAGTACTTGAAGCTCTAAGCACTTATATCGTATTGGCTACTATGCCCTCTAGCATGATAACGCTCGGAAAGTAATAGGTAGTGAATTGTGGACATGGGCTGTGCTGTCCTCTAGCATGCATCCTATCCAGACATCCAGCTCATGCATATTTTCATGTCACCTCCAATAGCACACGAGATGAAATATCAACACTGGGTAAAAACTCGAGAATTCCCTTCATCTGCATTCCAGTTTTAGTCGGATGGCCGAATTGCGTAGCTGTAACAGGCTTTCATTGAGAATTTCAAGATTCTTTGTGTGACTAGAGTCGTTGCAATCGTAACTTGCAAAATACGTACTTTTTGTAAAATACTACGCGTTTGGTAAGCAAATAGGTACCGTGGAAATGTGCTTTATACTAACTTCTAGCTTTACGAAAAACCGCCTAACAATTGTTTAATTGTCGAAAATGCGCGCCCTGTACGGCCGGGGTAGTATGTACGTAACTATATATAGGCCGCACGTTTTCGAGGCAAACTGTAGTCAAGGCAAAGCTATAAAAACGACGCCGCAACCTCGAACTTTCGAAGTCCTCAGTACCACCTGAGCTTCGATCAGTTTCGGTTGTCTCTTCTTCAGTTCAAGATCTTTAAAATCGGAACGCCATCAATGTTGAAATTTTTGAAGTTTGAACGTTGGACCTCGAATGATTAGACTCGAAGTGAACTATAGCAGAACTGCTTCACGATTTCAGCCTGCAACTATACAAGAGCTGCCAGCTCCACGTCTTAAACTTGGTTGTCAGTAGACTCGTTTCAGGCTCAGCAACAGAGGGTGTGGACAGATCGTCTTGAGACGCCAAAATCTCCCTTCCTAGAATTTGAAGAAATTTGAGGTCGGTAACTATTATCGCGTTAACATTGAAAAGGCTAGAGGTTTTGATAGCTAGCGATTCGTACGTGGGGAACGCGGAGACAAATGGTAATATTTGTCATATAGATTGGTCATTGACTCGAGATGACGTACAGCTTTGTCAAGCTACGCAGATTTTTCAATTGTGCGTTAGAGTGAAATTTCGTGGCGCATCATTTAGAAAAGAGATTGTTCCACTTAACGGTGATCATCTAAATTTTCTTGTCGAAAATAGCATAGTGCCGTAGTGATCACCAGGCTCTATTTTGTCTTAACACTGCTTGGATAACTGAACATTAAAAGTAGAACGATCGCCATACTTTAACATTAGCCTTTACTTGTTCCCTGCCGCACCGGCGTACAATCAAGGCAGCATTTGCAGGCAGAAAAGTTTGAACTTGACTTTCTGGAATATTTCACTTTACCATGGAAGATCTCGTCAAGTACAGACTCCAAGAAAAGTGAAAATCTTGACTGTTTTTTCGGTTAACTCGTGAGCAAGAATAACAGGGGGATCTTGAAAATCCGCCGACAGTGGTGAAGAACCTGCATTGATGATAGGACTTCGTTTTCCTATTATTAGTATGCGTCACCTTTTTTGAAATTAGGCGACGTAAGCTGACTCGCCTAAGAAGTAACCACATGCGGCGCTTTTTCAAGTTCATCTTCTGGCTCTGCCCACAATTTTGAGCACTTCGGTAGGCTTTAATCTGAGCAGCCGGTTGAAGTATCTATTCAAGCTCCATGTATAGGAATTTAATTATTGCTTTGATACAATTCGGTATATTGACTTGATGACCTACACGCATGCATTTCTAACCGCAAGAATCTCAGCGTAGTCCCGTTAGTTGAAGTAGCGTATGATCATCACCAGATTTTACGCTATGCGTTTTAAATATTGAAGGTTGGACGAAAGTTTCATTGCTTGCGCTCGGAACTCCCACGCGTTGGTGTAGCATTGGAAGAACGTGATACTACTATGAAAACTGCTATTATCAGCTAATCTGAAGTTCATTTAGACGGTATCTGGTATTATTCGCGTGCTCCTGCACTTACCATATGCACTTACACGTGCTGATCCCGGCAACGTAGCAACCTGTTACTCGCCGAGCCTCCTAGCAGTGAACTAGGCCTAGTCTTGGTCGACAAGATTTTCTCTCTCCTACCGTAGTCCTAGAGGAACTTGGAAAAGTAACAAGTAACTTCATCAGAATGTTCATTTTATTTAGAAAAATCAGTCTTGATAATCGTATATGCATACACTCTGAGAAATGAGAGGGGGTAGCTCTTCACATCTATGTACTTTCATCAGCATATCCACAGTTCCGTGCATTTTAATGCAGCATTTATAAGGCTCAGAGGCTTGCAGCTCAGCACTGCCAGTGTCCACGCCGGTGTTTCGGCGCCATACTTGGTCGCCCAGAAAGATGACTAGCATTAAAGTTATCCTGGTGCTAAACTTGGCACAGGAGCAGCAGCACTCTTAGTATGCTGGCAGGTACTGGACGGGAGAAGAGCGTGGAAAATATGGAGGTGAAGGGCCGTCGCTAGGAGCCCGGATGCCGGTAGTGGAATATAGAGGGTGAGGAGGCATCGTCGACACCCTACCATTATGGTAGACGATGTTCATCATTCCTATTGGAATCCCTGGTAATCGAATAGGTGGTGGGACCGAGAAGCGCGTGGGTCCGTCGTGAGACACTAGATAGGGGGGTGGTAGATAATTTGTACTTTAGAGGAATAGCGAGCGACGGAACAGGCGCTGCGGCCGGCCCGCCAAGGAGAAATTAAGTCTCCGGTTCGCTCTATGGAGACAAGTTTGAGAATTTGTTGACGACGCATTGATGACCACATGTCGAGAACATCACAGGCTCGGGGCTACTCACCTGAATGTTCAGGTGAGTGGAATATCGGGACGCTTTATTGCGTCTGGGGCCATGGTAGCTGGACTGTTGTGGCATGAATTTATTTTCTGCGGGTATTTATGTACAACTAGCAGAACGCGCTACGATATTATCCGACCAGCCTGCTTCATTTCTGCTGGCCTGATTTGCAACGTTCACACTTCCAGAATCTCCACGCATGGGAATAACAAGAGCCTGCTTGTTGATCAACGTTGTTTCCATCACCATTGTTTTCTCGTACACGGTTCGTTGAGCTGTCATGTACTGGTACGGCGTAAATTAGTATGGCGATTGCTAGCGTTTTGGTGGTTCGTAGAGTAGGTTTTAGGACGATCCCCCTCCACAACCTGCCGTGGCCTCACGAGACCCACGACCAGTCGGTACCCCGCGGGTTCCACGACCATTACCGTTTGCCGACATTTCACTATTTATCCACTCTGATGCACGACCTGGAACCTTTGGTTATCACTGTGGTGATCTGCATTACTTGTGCATACGGAAAATCATAACTAGATAAAAATTTTCATTTGTATTTGTACATTAATAAAAACCAATCCACCTGTGATTTGGCATAGGCAT